CTAAAACCCCCCCAGAAATCCTAAAAAAATCCCTCAGGGTTTCTCCCCTTCCCCTCAGGCTCCAGCGTCCCCTCAGGGTTTCCTGCCTTTCCCCTCAGGCTCAGAGAAAAATCGGGAATTAAAGGTGGAAAAAAAGCTCCCAAAAATTCCGGGAAAAAACCCTAAAAAACCCAATTCCCCTCAGGCTCCGGGTCCCCTCAGGGTTTCCGCCTTTCCCCTCAGGCTCAGGGAAAAATTGGAAATTAGAGGTGGAAAAAAGCTCCCAATAATTCCAAGAAATCCCAAAAAAAGGCCTAAAATCAAAAAACCCAGAAATCCCAAAAAATTGCTCAGGGTTTCCCACCTTTCCCCTCATTCTGGGTCCTCTCGTGCTCAGGGAAAAATCGGGAAATGGAGGCGGAAAAAAGCTCCCCAAAAGACCCCAAAAAAACTCTGAAAATCCCCCCCAAAAACCCAGAAATACCAGAAATTTAATCAGTTTCTCCCCTTCCCCTCAGGCTCCTGGTCCCCTCAGGGTTTTTCCCGTTCCCCTCCGGCTCCAGGCCCCCTCAGCGTTTCCTGCCTTTGCCCTCAGATTCAGGGTCCCCTCAGGCTCAAGGAAAAATCGGGAATTAGATGCAGAAAAAAGCTCCCAAAAATTAAAAAAAACTCCCAAAAAAGTCCTACAATCCAAAAAAAATTCCTCGGGGTCTCTCCCTCCCCTCAGGCTCGGGATGCCCTCAGGTTTTCCTGCCGGCGGGAAACCCTCGGGAGGCTCCGTTCCCCTCAGGGCAATCCGAAGATAGCGGCACAGGTATGGGGGGAAATCGGGAGTTAGAGGGGGGAAAAGCTCCTAAAATCCCCCAAAAAACAAAAATAATAATAAAAAAACCATAAAAATCCCTAAAAAACCCCAGAAATCCCCAAAAATTCCTCAGGGTTTCTCCCCTTCCCCTCAGGGTCCAGGGTCCCATCAGGCTTGGAGGTCCCTCAGGTTCAGGGAAAAATCAGGAATTAGAGGCGGAAAAATCTCTCAAAAATTCATCAAAAAGCAAAAAATATTCCCAAAATCCCCTCCCCAAAAAAAGACAAATCCAAAAAATTCCTCAGGTTTGGGGTCCTCACAGAATTCCCCATAAAAATCCTCAAAATTCCCGAATTTCATCTTGGAATTCCTCCTGAAAATCCCCCAAAAATATTTTAAAAATCCTCCCAAATCCCCAAATTTCTTCCCTCAATTTCCCCCCCAAAAATCCCTAAAGTTCCCAATTTTTCCCCTAAAAACCCCGGATAATTCCCCCAAAATTCCCAAATTTCTTCCTGGAATTTCTCCCAAAAAAAATCCCTCCAAAAATCCCCGAATTTTTTCCCCTAAAAATCCCAAATAACTCCCCCAAAATTCCCAAATTTCTTCCTCAATTTCCCCCCAAAAATTCCCAAATTCCCCCCAAAAACCAGAATAAAAACAGGAAAAAAAAATCAATTTTATTGCTGCAAAAAAACCCAAAATCCCAAATTTTTATGGAATTCTTAAGGAAATTTTTGAGGATTTTTTGGGGGATTTTTTTGTGAATTTTTGGGGGGTTTTAAAATGGAATTTTTAGGGATTTTTTTTTTTATTTTTAACGGAAGTTTGGGATTTCTAATTGCATTTTTAGGGATTTCTATATGCAATTTTTAGGGATCTTTTTTGGATTTTTAATTTAATTTTTGGGGGCATTTTAATGGATTTTTTAACAGGATTTTTTCCTGATTTTTTTTTTCATTTTAAAGAGAATTTTTTAGAGGATTTTTAATTGAATTTAAATTATTTTAAATGGATTTTTGGTGAATTGTTTTTGTTTTTAATGAAATTTTTTGGGATTTTTGAAGGATTTTTTTACAGAATTTTCTTGGGCTTTAAATGGAATTTTTGGGGTTTTTTGGGAATATTTTGGGATTTTTTAATGGACTTTTTGGAGGCTTAAAATTGAAGTTTTTTTGGGATTTTGGGGGTCTTTTTAATGGAATTTTTTTGGTTTTTAAAGGAATTTTTGAGGGTTTTGGGGGGATTCTTAAAAATTTTTAAGGAATTTTTTGAGAGTTTTTTTATTTTATATGGAATTTTTAGGGGGATTTTGGGCAATTTTAAGGATTTTTTGGGGTTTTTTTTAGAGAATTTTTAGGCATTTTAAGGATTTTCTTTTTAATTGAATTTGTGGGGGATTTTTGGGAATTTCTTTTGTAGTTTTAAGGAATTTTAAAGGAATTTTTAGGGTTTTAAATTGAAATTTTTTTGGTTTTTTTGGTGATTTTTAATTGAATTTTTATGCATTTTTTTGAAAACTTAGGGGTTTTTTATGGAATTCCCAGCCCACCCCAAAAACTTTATTAAAATACCAAATTTCTCAAATTTTTGTGGATTTTCCCTTCAAAATCCTGATTTTTCCTGGGAATTTTCTCCTTTTTGAAGCTTTGGATTTTTCCAATTCCTGTGGAGGAAAAAAAATCAGGATAAATCCCAAAAACTTATCATTTTTTTCCCTCTAAATTCCCAAATTTTCCCCTAAAAATTCCCTTTCTTTTCCTCCCTAAAATTCCCTTTTCCCCGTCTAAATTCTCAATTTTTTCCCCAAAAATTCCCAATTTTTCCCTTACTAAAATCTCCATCCCCCCCCCAAAAAATCAAATTTTCCCCTGCAAATTAGCAATTTTTCCCCCTAAAAAAATCCAAAATTTTCCCCCAAAATTCCACATTTCCCCCCCCAAAATTTCCCATTTTTCCCCTAAAAAATCCCATTTTTCCACCCAAAATTCAAGTTTTTTCTCTAAAAATTCCCTTTTTTCCCCTAAAATTCCCATTTTCTTAGAAAAACACCTCATTTTTCCCTAAAAATCCCCAATTTTCCCACAAAAACCCCCATTTTATCCCCCAAAATCCCAATTTTTCCCCGAAAAATTCCCATTTTTCCCTTAAAATCTCAAATTTTTTTTGTCAAAATTCCCATTTTTTTCTTCAAAATCCCATTTCTCCCTCCAAAATTCCCATTTTTCCCCAAAAAATTCCATTTTCCCCATAAAAATTCAAATTTTTCCCTGAAAATCCTCCTTTACCCACCAAAATCCCCATTTTCCCCTCAAAATTCCCATTTTATCCCCTCAAATTCTAATTTCCCTGCTAAAATTCCCATTTTTAACCCTAAAATTCCCTTTCCTCCAAAAATCTCTAATTTCTCCCCCTAAAAATCCCATTTAAGCCCCAAAATTTCAATTTTTCCTAAAAAAAACCCCCTCTAATTTTTCCTCAAAAAAATAATTTTCTCCCTCAAAAATCACCATTCCCCCCCAAATTTCCTTTTTTCCCTCAAAAAATTCCCATTTTCCCCCACAAAATCCACATTTTTCCCTCAAAATTCCCATATTTTCCCTCAAAATTCCCATTTTCCCCACAATATTCCCCAAAAATTCCCAATAAAATTATTCCTACCTGAAACTTTGCATCTTAATTCGGAAATCCGGAGCGTTTCCACTTGGGCATAGCAACAACCCAGCTCTGCAACAACACAAAACCAACATTTTAACATTCCCAACATTTTCTTCATCCAAACACATCCATAGAAAAAATTACAATAATTTATTTATTTATTAATTATTTAATAATTTCGGGATTATTTTTAAGGCAAAAAGCGGCTTCCCCTCAGAGCCGCCGCCATCTTTGCCCCCCCTTTTCCCGCGCTCACCCCTCAGCCGCTCCTCCTGCAATGGCTCCTCCGTGGATCCCGACGTTTTCCCGGTAGCCGATCCAGGGAATGTTACCGGGAACGGAAATGGGAAGGACACCGGACGTGGTATGGCCGCCTGGGCTCGGTCCTAGCGCCGGCTGAGGCGGGGTGTGGGGGGAAAGCCGGGATGGATCCCGCGGATAAAACAGGGAAGGGAAATGGCGAATTCGGCTTCCCTGGGGTCCCTGTCCCCTCATGGGTCCCTCCATGATTTTCCCTCAGGAATCCCGCCATGGTTTCCCCTCAGGGGTCTCGTTCTGCGGTCCTACCGTGAGTCCCGTCATCGTTCCCCCTCAGGATTCCCGCTCCGGTTCCCCTTCAGGGGTCCCGCCATGATTTTCCCCTCAGGGGTCTCGCCATGATTCCCCCTCAGGAATCCCTCTCCGGTTTCCCCCTCAGGGGTCTCGCCATGATTCCCCCTCAGGAATCCCGCTCCGGTTTCCCCCTCAGGAGTCTCGCCATGATTCCCTCTCAGGATTCCCGCTCCGGTTTCTTCTCAGGGGTCTCACTCTGCGGTCGTATCGTGAGTCCCGCTCCGGTTCCCCCTCAGGGGTCCCGCCATAGTTTTCCCCTCAGGGGTCTCGCCATGATTCCCTCTCAGGAATCCCGCTCCGGTTTCTTCTCAGGGGGTCTCACTCTGCGGTCGTACCGTGAGTCCCGCCATGATTCCCCTCAGGGTCCCGCTCCGGTTCCCCCTCAGGGGTCCCCCATTAGTCCCGTTCCTGTTCCCCCTCAGGGGTCCCGCTCCGGTTTTCCCTCATGAATCCGCCCATGGCTCCCCTCAGGATTCCCGCTCCGGCTTTCCCCGTCAGGGGTCCCGCCATTGGTCCCGCTCCGGTTCCCTCTGAGGGGTCTCGCCATGATTCCCCCTCAGAATTCCCGCTCCGGTTTCTTCTCAGGGGTCTCGCTCTGCGGTCGTACCGTGAGTCCCGCCATGATTCCCCCTCAGGGGTCTCGCACTGAGGTCCCGCCATAGGTCACGCTCCGGTTTCCCCTCAGGGGTCCCGCTCCGGTTCCCTCTGAGGGGTCTCGCCATGATTCCCCCTCAGGAATCCCGCTCCGGTTTCTTCTCAGGGGTCTCGCTCTGCAGTCGTACCGTGAGTCCCGCCATGATTCCCTCTCAGGGGTCTCGCACTGAGGTCCCGCCATGGGTCCCGCTCCGGTCTCCCCATCACGTTCCCCCTCAAGCTCCCGCCATGGCTGTCCCTCACGGTTCCCGCTCCGAGCCCCGCCGTGCCCCGGCGGCCGCCGCGGTCCCGCCCCCGCTGTGTCTCTATGGTGCGGCGCGGTCGCTCTGCCCCGCTCGGAGGCCGCGCTCGGGCCGGGCCGGGCTCGCCCCGGCGGCTGCNGGGGTCCCGGCCCCGGGCCCAGCCGGGCCGGCAGCAGCGAGCGGCGCCGGCAAAAACCAACGGCCGAGCCGGGCCGGCAACCCCGGGCCCCAGCGGCCCCGTCCCGCCGGGCCGGCGCATGGAGAAGCCCGGCAGGATGGACTGTCCCGCGCTGCCTCCCGGCTGGAAGAAGGAAGAGGTGATCCGAAAGTCGGGCCTGAGCGCCGGCAAGAGCGATGTCTACTACTTCAGGTACGGGCCCGAGGGATTCCGGTGGGGCTGCCGACCTTGGGGGGCTCCCGGAGCCCCGGCTGGGCAGGGACGGTGGGGTCGGTGCCCACACGCCGCCGGGCCGGCTGTCATAGCTCGCTCGCTTCCGCCATGGCTCTGGCAGGGCTGTCCTGTCACGGGGCGATTCCGGTTCCCTGTGTGAGGGGGAGAGCGGGCTCCTGTCAAGGGGGGGAGCTCGGGGTGATTCCGGTTCACTTTCTGAGGGGAACCGGGCTCCTGTCACGGGGGGAGCTCGGAGTTTTGTCACGGGGCAGTTCCGGTTCTCTGAGGGGGAACCGGGCTCCTGTCACGGGGGAGCTCGGGGAGATTCTGGTTCACTTTCTGAGGGGAGCTCGGGCTGCTGTCACAGGGTGTTTCCGGTTCACTTTCTGAGGAGAACCGGGCTCCTGTCACGGGGGATCTCGGAGTTTTGTCACGGGGCGATTCCGGTTCTCTGAGGGGAACCCGGCTCCTGTCACGGGGGGAGCTCAGAGTTTTGTCACGAGGTGGTTCCGGTTCTCTCTGAGGGGGAACCGGGTCTCCTGTTACGCGGCGGTTCCTGTTCTATCTGAAGGGAAACCGGGCTCCTGTCACGGGGCGATTCCGATTCTCTCTGAAGGGGATTCCGGGTTCTTTTCGCTGGGGGAGCTCGGAGTTTTGGCACGGGACGATTCCGGTTCCATGAGGAGGAACCGCCTCCTGTCACGGGATGGTTCCGGTTCTCTCTCTGAGGGGGATTCGGAGCTCCTGTCACGGGAGGAGCTCGGAGTTTTGTCCCGGGCCGATTCCGGCTCCATGAAGGAGAACCGGGCCCCCCTCACGGAACGATTCCAGTTCTGTGAGGGGGAACCGGGCTCCCCTCACGGGGCGGTTCCGGTTCAATGAGAGGGAACCGGGGCTCCTGTCACGGGTGGAGCTCGGAGTTTTGTCCCGGGACAATTCCGGTTCTCTGTGAGGGAGAACCGGGCTCCCATTACGGGACAATTCCGGTTCTCTGTGAGGGAGAACCGGGCTCCCATCACGGGACAATTCCGGTTCTCTCTGAGGGAGAACCGGGCCCCCCTCACGGGACGATTCCGGTTCTCTGAGGGAGAACCGGGGCTCCCCTCACGGGGCGGTTCGGGTTCCGTGAGGGGGAACCGGAGCTCCCCTCATGGGGCGGTTTTGGTTCTTTCTGAGGGAGAACCGGGGCTCCTGTCTCGGGAGGAGCTCGGAGTTGTGTCCCGGGACGATTCCGGTTCCATGAGGGGGAACCGGGATCCCCTCACGGGACGATTCCGTTTTCATGAGGGGCAGCTCGGGCTCCCCTCACGGGGCGGGTCCGGTTCCTTCTCTGAGGGAAATCTCGGTTTTTTAAACTTATTTTTAGAAGTTTTCATGGAATTTTTGAGAGATTTTTGAGGTTTTTATGGGTTTTTTTTGTGGAAAAAATTGGGTTGGGTTTTTATTGATTTTTTGTGGGTTTTAATGGGATTTTTTAGGAGTTTCTAGGGAAGTTTTTAATGGAATTTTTGAGGTGAAAAATTGGGATAGGAGGGCAAAAACCGGGATTGGGAATTTTATGGATTTTTTTCGTGTTTTAATGGAATTTTTGAGACATTTTTGTGGTTTTTTAGGGAATTTTTAAGGTTTTTTTGAGGTGAAAAATCGGGATTGGAGGGGAAAACCGGGATTGGGTTTTTAAAGGTTTTAATGGGATTTTATTGGGATTTTTGGGCCCTTTTAGGGTTTTTTTGGGGGAAAAAAATGGGATTGGAGGGGAAAAAAGTGAGACTGGGACTTCTATGGAGTTTTTTGGGTTTTAATGGAATTTTTTTGGTAATTTTTGGATTTTTAGGTGTTTTTTGTGGGAGTTTTTAAGTAATTCCAGGGTTTTTTTGGGATTTCAAGCCAGGAAAATCCACTCTGGAAGGACTCGGATGGAAGAAGAGTGGGAAAATGAAGGTTGTTATGTAAAATAGTTCATTTGCATAATTAATTAACTCATTTTAATTTCCAGCTGGACGAGTTTATGCAAAAATCTGGATTAAAGGAGGGTGTGCTGCTAAGAATTCTCAAATTTTTTCCCGTGGGATGATCCTGGGTTTTTCTTTTGCTGTTTTCCCCTAAAATCTCAATTTTTCCCTAACAAAATTCCCAAAAATCGCCCAAAATTCCCTAAAAACCCCAAAATCTCAAAAAAAAAAAATCCTAATTTTCCCCCTCTAAAATTCCCTAATAAATCCCAAAAAAATTTCTCTAAAAATTCCCAAAACTTCCCCAAAAAATCCCCAAGAAAAGCTGAAAAAAAATCCCCAAAAATTCCCTGAAAATCCCCCCCAAAATTCCAAAAATTCCCAAAATTCCCCAAAAATCCCCAATAAATTCCCCAAAAATTTTCAAAAATTCACAAAAAATTACAAAAAATCCCACAAGATTTCCAAAAAATCCCCCAAAAATTCCTAAAAAATTCCTTAAAAACCCCTCAAAAATCCCCAAAAAATTCCAAAAAAATCTTCCAAAAATCTGATTTTTTTCCCTCCAAAACCTCTGTGAAAACCCCAAAAAATGCCGAAAAATCACCAAAAAAAGCCAAAAATCCCATTTTTTTCCAAAATTCTCAAAAAATTGTAAAAAAATTCTCAAAAATTCCCCAAAAAATCCCTAAAAATTCACCCAAAATATCCTTTAAAATTCTCAAAAAATAAAAAAATTCCCAATAAATCCCTAAAAATTCTCAAAAAATCCTCAAAAAAATCCTCCCCAATTACCTAAAAATTCCCAAAAATTCTTTAAAAATTTTCAAAAACTTAACCAAAAAAATCCCCAAAAATTCCCAAACATTTCCCCAAAAAATTCTCAAAAACTTGCCAAATATGTCCCCAAAAATTCTCAAAAAATTGCAAAAAAAATCACCAAAAAATTCCCTAAAAATTACCCCAAAATCCCCAAAAATTAAAAAACAATTCCCATAAAAATGTGGAAAAAGTCCTGAAAAATTATTCAAAAATTGGCAAAAAATTCCCCAAAAATTCTCAAAAAATTGCAAAAAAAATCACCAAAAAATTCCCTAAAAATTACCCCAAAATCCCCAAAAATTAAAAAACAATTCCCATAAAAATGTGGAAAAAGTCCTGAAAAATTATTCAAAAATTGGCAAAAAATTCCCCAAAAATTCTCAAAAAGTTCTCCAAAAATTCTAAAAAAAATTCTCAAAAATTCCTAAAAAATTCACCCCAAAACTCCTTTAAAATCCTGGAAAAATACAGAAAAATTACAGAAAAAATCCCAAAAATTTGTTAAAAAAAATCTCACAAATTCCATTAAAAATCCCTAAAAATTCATGAAAAAATCCTTAAAAATCCTGAAAAATACAAAAAAATTCCCCAAAAAATTCTCAAAAGATTCCCAAAAAATCCCCAATCAATTCTACAAAAATCCCTAAAAATTCTCCAAAAATTCTCCAAAAATTCTCAAAGAATTCCAAAGAAATTATAAAAAAATTCTCAAAAAACTCCCAAAAATCCCCCAAAAATTCTCCAAAAAATCCTTAAAAATTCCCAAAAAATTCTACCCCCCCAAACTTCCATTAAAATCTTCAAAAATTCATTGAAAGTCCCTAAAAATTCTCCAAAAAATCCTTAAAAATTCCCGAAAAATTCCCAAAAAATTCCCAAAAAATTCTACCCCCCCAAAATTCCATTAAAATCTTCAAAAATTCATTGAAAGTCCCTAAAAATTCTCAAAAAATTCTCAAAAAATCCCCCAAAAATTCACTAAAAATGCCCTAAAATCCCCAAAAATACCTTTAAAAATTCTCAAAAATGTCTCCAAAATTCCATTAAAAATCCCTAAAAATTCAACAAAAAATCCTTAAAAATACCAAAAAATTGCTGAAAAAATTCCCAAAAAAATCTCAAAAAATTCCTAAAAATTCCCAAAAATTCTCAAAAAATTCTCAAAAAATCTGGAAAAAAATCCAAAAAAAATCTTCAAAAATTGGCAAAAAACTCTTCTAAAATTGTGAAAAAATCTCAAAAATTCTCAAAAAATTGGAAATAAAATATCAAAAAAAATCTCAAAAAATTCTCAAAAATTCTCTGAAAATTAATAAAAAAAAATCCTTAAAAATACCAAAAAATTCCCAAAAAATTCCTGAAAAAAATCTCAAAAAATTCTCAAAAAATTCCTAAAAATTCCCAAAAAATTCACAAAAAAATCCCCCAAAATTCACCAAAAAACCCCAGAAAATCTTTAAAAAATCTCAAAAAATCCCAAAAAATTCTCAAAAAATTCTGAAAAATCCCCCAAAAATTCTCCAAAAAAATCTTTAAAAATCCCTAAAAAAGTCTGAATTTCCCCCCAAAGCTCCGTAAAAGCCCCCGAACTGCCGCAGGATCGCCCAAAGCCACCAGAGCTGTCCGTTTCCCTGACCCTCCCCAGCCCCTTACAAGCCTCTCCCCACTGGAACGCTTTCCCCTGTGCAGCCCCAGCGGGAAGAAGTTCCGCAGCAAGCCGCAGCTGGCGCGCTACCTGGGCAACTCCGTTGACCTGAGCTCCTTCGATTTCCGCACGGGGAAGATGATGCCCAGCAAGCTGCAGAAGAACAAACAGAAACTCAGGAACGACGCCCTCAACCCCAACAAGGTGGGCCAAAAATCCAGGTTTTTTCTTTTTAATTATGGTGTTCGTTAATTCCCAACATTTCCCCAATTTTTCCCATTTTTTGCTATTTTTTCCCCATTTTAATCTCATTTTTTCCCCATTCACCATTTTTTCTCATTTTATTCCCAATTTTTTCCCATTTCCCCCCATTTATTTCCCAATTTTCCCCATTTTTTCACCATTTTCCCCCAATTTTTCCCATTTTTTGCTATTTTTTCCCCATTTTAATCTCATTTTTTCCCCATTCACCATTTTTTCTCATTTTATTCCCAATTTTTTCCCATTTCCCCCCATTTATTTCCCAATTTTCCCCATTTTTTCACCAATTTTTTCCCACTTTTTCTGCATTTTCAGCCAATTTTTCTCCCATTTTTTCCCCAATTTTTCCTGGCTTTTCCCCCATCTTTCACCAAAATGTTTCCTATTTTCACCCATTTTTTCACCAATTTTTCCCCATTTTTTCCTGATTTTAACCCATTGTTCCCCCAATATTTTCCAATTTTTTTCCCATTTTTTTCCCAAATTTTCTTCCAATTTCCCCCCATATTTCCCTAATATTTTCTCCAATTTTCCCCCATATTTTCCCAATTTTTTCCATTTTTCTCCTATTTTTTATCGATTTTTCCCCATTTCTCCCAATTTTCCCCAATTTTCTCCCCAATTTTCCTCAATTTGCCCCCAATTTTTCCCCAATTTTTCCCATTTTTTCACCGATTTTCGCTATTTTTTGTTGTTTTTCCCCAATTTTTTCCCCATTTCCCCAGTTTTCCCCCAATTTTTTCCCAGGTTTTCCTTATATTTTTTACCAATTTTCCCCTTTTTTCCCCCCATTATTTGACCTATTTTTGCCATTTTTTTGACATTTTTTGCCCAATTTCCCCCTAATTTCCCCCCAATTTTTTACCAATTTCTCCCCAATTTATCCCGATATTTTCCCCAATTTTTTCTTAATTTTCTCCCATATTTTCCCAATTTTTTCCAATTTTCCCCCATATTTTCACCGATTTTCACCATTTTTTTGTCATTTTTCCCCAATTTCCCCCAATTTTTCCTCAATTTTTCTCCCAATTTTCCCCCAATTTTTCCCCAATTCTGCCCCAAATTTTCCCCAATTTTCTCCATATTTTCCCCAATTTTCCCCAATTTTATCACAATTTCCCCAATTTTTCATATTTTTCCACATTCTTTCACCGATTTTCGCCATTTTTTCCCAATTTTTTCCCCAATTTTACCCCAATTCTTCCCCAATTTTCCCTCAATTTTCTCCTATATTTTCCCCTATTTTTTCCCAATTTTTCCCCATATTCCCCCAATTTTCCCCCATATTTCCCCCGATTTTTCCCCAATTTCCCCCCCGATTTTACCCATTTTTTCCCCCATTTTTTCACTGATTTTCCCCAATTTCCCCTCAAATTTTCCCCAATTTCCCCCCGATTTTCGCCTAATTTTCCCCCAATTTTCCCCCAAATTTCCCCAATTTTCCCCCATATTTTCCCTATATTTTTTACCATTTTCCCCAATATTTTTGAGCAATTTCCCCCCGTTTTGCCCCATTTCCCAGGGCAAACCCGACCTGAACACGACGCTCCCCATCCGCCAGACGGCCTCGATCTTCAAGCAGCCGGTGACCAAAGTGACCAACCACCCTGGCAACAAAGTGAGGAGCGACCCGCAGCGCCTCAGTGAGCAGCCCAGACAGGTGGGCAAACTGGGCAAACTGGGCAAACTGGGCAACATTTGGGCCAAAAACGGCGAAAAATCCGGGCAAAAACGGCGAAAATTGGGGAAAAAAGGGGAAATTTGGGTCCAAAGTGACCAACCCCCCTGGGAACAAAGTGAGGACCGACCCGCAGCGCCTCAGTGAGCAGCCCAGACAGTGAGAAAAAATCAAAATAGTTTGGGAAAAAATTGGGGAAAATTAGGAAAAAATTTTGGGGAAAAATGGTGAAAATTGGTGAAAAAATGGGGGAAAATGGAGAAAAAATTGAGGAAAAATTGGAGAAAATTTGAGGAAAAATTGGGGGAAATTGGAAAAAAATTGGGGAAAAATTGAGGAAAAGTTGGGAAAAAATGGCGACAATTGGTGAAAAAATGGGAAAAATTGGGCGAAGAAATGGGAAAAATTGGGGAAGTTTAGGAATAAATTGGGGAAAAATTCAGAATTTCTGGGAAAAAAAATTGAGAATGTGGAATAAAAATTGGGGGAAAACTGGGCAAAAAAAGTTGAAAAAATGACAAAAATTGTTGAAAAAATGGTGAAAACCGGTGAAAAACTGGGGGAAAAATGGGAAAAATTGAGGGAAATTTGGGGAAAAATTGGGGAAAATTTAGGGAAAAGTTCAAAATTTATGGGGAAAAAATTGGAGAATGTGGAAGAAAAATTGGGAAAAAATTGGGGGAAAATGGAGAAAAAATTGGTGAAAAAATGGGGAAAATTGGGGAAAAAATTGAGGAAAAATGGGAGAAAAATGGGGAAAAATGTGAATTTTTGAGGGAAAAAATTGGGGAAAAATTGGGCGAAAAACTGGTAAAAATATCAGAAAAAATGGGAATAAAAAGGGAGAAAAATGGGAAAAAATTGGAAAAAAATCAGGAAAAATTTGGGGAAATTGGGGAAAATTTTGGGGAGAAAATGGGGAAAAATCAGGGAACAGTTGGGGAAAAATTTAGAAAAATTTGGGAAAAATGGGAAAAAATTGGAAAAAAATCAGGAAAAATTTGGGGAAATTGGGGAAAATTTTGGGGAGAAAATGGGGAAAAATCAGGGAACAGTTGGGGAAAAATTTAGAAAAATTTGGGAAAAATGGGGACAAAATCAGGGAAAAATTGGGAAAAATCTGGGAAAAATTTGGGAAAAATGGGAAAAAATCAGGAAATAATTGGGGGAAAATGACAAAATTTGGGCAAATATGGGAAAGAAATTTGGAAAAAATGTTAAAAAATCGGGAAAATGGGGAAAAATTGGAGAAAAAATGGGGAAAAAATCAGGAAAAAATTGAGAAAAAATTGTGAAGAAATGGGAAAAATTTTGGGAAAAATAGGAGAAAAATAGGGAAAAAATCAGGAAAAAATGGGGGAAATTGGGACAAAATGAGGAAAAAATTGAGAAAAAATTGAGGAAAAATGGGAAAAATTTTGGCAAAAATGGGAAAAAATCAGGAAAAAATGGAGGGAAAAATGGAGAAAAAAGGAGGAAAAAAATCAGATTTTTTGGGTTTATTTGATGAAAATTTTGATTTTTTTTCAGCTTTTTTGGGAGAAAAGGCTCCAAGGTCTGAGCGCTTCTGATGTGAGCGAGCAAATCATCAAATCCATGGAGCTGCCCAAGGGACTGCAAGGTGAAAATGGGGAAAAAACGGGGGAAATTGGGGAAAAAAATGGGGGGAAAATGGTGAAAAAATGGCGAAAATCCGAGAAAAAATGGGGGGAAAATGGGAATAAAATGGGGGGAAAATTGGGGGAAAATGAGAATAAAATGAGGAAAAAATGGGGGAAAATTTGGAATAAATATGGGGAAAATTGGAGAAAATTGGGGGGAAAATTTGGAATAAAATGGGGAAAAAATGGGGGGAAAATGGGAATAAAATGGGGGGAAAATTGGGGGAAAATGAGAATAAAATGAGGAAAAAATGGGGGAAAATTTGGAATAAAATGGGGAAAAAATGGGGGGAAATGTGGAATAAATTGTGGAAAAATTGGAGAAAATTGCGAGAAAAATGGGAATAAAATGGGGAAAATTGGGGAAAATTGAGAAACAAATCTGGGGAAAAACGGTGAAAAATTACGAAAATCTGTAAAAAATTGGGGAAAAATGGGAAAAATTGGGGGAAAATTGGGAATAAAATGGGGGAAAAATTGGGGAAAAATGGGAAAAAACAGTCAAAAAATGGGGAAATTGGGAAAAAATCAGAAAAATGGTGAAAAAATGATGAAAATTGTTGAAAAAATGGGGGGAAAATGGGAAAAAATGGGGGAAAATTGGAGAAAAATCGGGGGAAAATTGGGGGAAAATGGGAATAAAATGGTGGAAAAATTGGGGGAAAGTGAGAATAAATTGGGAAGAAATTGGGGGAAAAATGAGAATAAAATGGGGGAAATTGGGGAAAAAACGGTGAAAAATGGGGGAAAATGGGGAAAATTGGGGAAAAATGAGAATAAAATGGAGGAAAATTGGGGGGAAATTTGGAATAAATTGGGGAAAAATAGGGGAAAATTAGTGGAAAACTTGGAATAAACTGGGAAATTGGGGGAAATGTGGAATAAGTTGGGGAAAAATTGGGAAGAAATTGGGGGGGAAAATTGGGGGAAAAATGGGGGAAAATTGGGAAAAATTGGGTGAAAAATGGGAATAAAATGGGGAAAAAATTGGGGTAAAATGAGAATAAAATGGGGAAAAATTGGGGGAAAACTTTAGAAAAAATAGAAATATTTGGAATAAAATGGGGAAAGAATTGGGGAAAAATTGGGAATAAAATGGGGAGAAATTGGGGGAAAATTGGGGAAATATGGGGAAAAAATTGGGGGAAAAATTTGGAATAAATGGGGGAAAAACGGGAAGAAATTGGGGGGAAAATGAGAATAAAATGGGGAAAAAAGGGTGGAAAAATTGGGGGAACATTTGGAATAAATTGGTAAAAAATTGGGGGGAAAATGGGAATAAAATGGGGGGAAATTGGGGGAAAAATGGGGAAAATTGGGGAAAACCTTGGAATCTTTAGGGGAAAAATTCGACTTTGGGGAGAAAATTGGGGGAAAATTCAGATTTTTTGGGGAGAAAAATGAGGAAAAAAATGGAAATTTTTGAGAAAAAAATTGGAGGAAAATGGGAAAAAATTGGGGGAAAATTGGGGAAAACAATGGGATTTTTAGGAAAAAAAATGGGAACAAATTTGAATTTTTTGGGGAAAAAATCGGAATTTTTTGGCAAAAAATGGGAAAAAATTTGAATTTTTTGGAGGAACAATGGGGGAAAATTGGGGAAAAAATTGGAATTTTTAGGGAAAAAGGGGGGGAAAATTTGAATTTTTTGGGGAAAATTGGGGGGAAATTGGGAATTTTTGGTGGTAAAAAATAGGAACTGTAGGAGAAAAAAATGGGAGTTTTGGCGGGAAAAATGGAGAATTTTTGGCGGGAAAAAAGTAAGTTTTGTGGGGAAAATCGCGGGAAGTTTTGGGGGGGAAAAGTTCATTTTGGCAGGAAAAAATAGCAAATTTTGGCGGGAAAACAGGGCGAATTTTGCTGGGAAAAAAATGGGATTGTTTGGTAGAAAAAATTGGGAATTTTGGCAGGAAAAAAAAGACGAATTTTGGCAGAAAAAAAAGAGATTTTTGGGGGAAAAATTGGATTTTTTTGGTGAAAAAACTTGATTTTTTGGCAGAAAAAATCGAATTTTTTTGGGATAAAAATTGGAGTTTTTGGCAGAAAAAATCAAATTTTTTGGGGGAAAAAAATGGGGTTTTGGCTGGAAAAAAATGGAAATTTGGTGGGAAAATTGAGAATGTTGCTGGGGAATAAACGGTGGAATTTAGAGAGAAAAATGGCGAATTTTGAGGGGAAAATCGCTGGAAGTCTTGGCGGGAAAAAAATAGCAAATTTTGGCGGGAAAATTGGGAATTTTTGGCGGTAAAAACTGGGAACTTTGGGAGGAAAAAAGGAATTTTTGGCGGGAAAAATGGAGAATTTTGGCCGGAAAAATTGTGATTTTTTTGCGGGGAAAAATGGAGAATTTTTGGCGGGAAATAACAGGAACTTTAGGAGAAAAAAATGGGAATTTTGGCAGAAAAAATGGGATTTTCTGTGGGGAAAATGGAGACTTTTTGGCGGGAAAAATGGCGACTTTTGGCAGGAAAAATTGTGATTTTTGGTGGGAAAAAATGGGATTTTTTTGGAATAAAAAATAGAGAATTTTAGACTGGAAGAATGGGAATTTTTTGGGGAAAAATGGGAATTTTTGGCAAAAAAATGGGATTTTTTGTGCAAAAAATCAGATTTTTTGGGTGAAAAAATCGGAATTTTTGGGGGGGAAAATTGGATTTTTTTTGGGGAAAAAATCTGATTTTTGAGGGAAAAGAAATGTGAATTTTGGGCAAAAATTGGGATTTTTTGCAAAAAAAATCTGATTTTTTGACGAAAAAAGGGATTTTTTTGTGAAAAATGGGATTTTTTAGTGGAAAAAAAAAGCAACTTTTTCTGGGAAATAAATGGCAATTTTGGTAGGAAAAAAGTTAGTTTTGGCCGAAGAAATGTTATTTTTGTGGGAAAAAATGGGAATTTTTTAGGGGAAAATGGAGAATTTTTGGCGGGAAAAAATGGCGAATTTTGGAGGGAAAAAAGGGCGAATTTTGGCGGGAAAAAATTGGATTTTTTGGGAGAAAAAATCAAATTTTTGGGCAAAAAATGGAATTTTTTGTGGGAAAAAATGGCATTTTGAGGGGAGAAATGGCATTTATTAGTGGAAAAAAATAGGAATTTTTAAACTGAAAAAAAGAGAATTTTGAGTGAAAAAATGGGATTTTTTGGGAAAAAATGGGGGTTTTTTTGAGGGAAAGAATTGGATTTTTTCGTGGGGAAAAAAAGTTAATTTTGGCCAAAAAAGTGGGATTTTTTCATGGGAAAAATGGGAATTTTTTAACTGAAAAAAGAGAATTTTGGCCAAAAAAATGGGATTTTTTGGGGGGAAAAAATTAGATTTTTGGGGGGAAAAAATAGGATTTTTTGAGGGAAAAAATTGGATTTTTTGGCAGAAAAAATTGGATTTTTGATGGGAAAAAAAGTGAATTTTGGCTGAAAAAATTGGATTTTTTTGGCAAAGAAAATCGGATTTTTTTGCCAAAAAAAGGGATTTTTTTCGTGGAAAAAAAAGGGATTTTTTCTGGGAAAAGCCCGGGAATGTGGGGAATAAATTGGGCCTGATTTTTGGGTGCAGGAGTGGGCCCCGGCGCCAGCCGGGAGTCGCTGCTGTCGGCCGTGGCCAGCGCCCTCCACACCAGCTCGGCTCCCATCACCGGCCAGAACTCGGCCGCCGTGGAGAAGAACCCGGGCATTTGGCTCAACACCTCGCAGCCCCTCTGCAAAGCCTTCGTGGTCACCGACGACGACATCCGGTGAGTGCAACGTTCCAGAGCAATTCCCCAAAAACTCGGCAAGGTTTCCGCCAAAATTCGAATTTTTCCTGCCAAAAATTCCCATTTTTTACCCCAAAAACTTGAATTTTTCCTGCCAAAAATTCCCATTTTTTCCTGCCAAAAATTCCCATTGTTTAACCCAAAAAGCAAAAAAAATCTCAATAAATTCAACAAAAAATCCCCCAAAACTCCCCACAATTTGGCAAAATTTCCACCAAATTTGAATTTTTCCACCCAAAATTCAAATTTTTTCCCCTAAAATTCGAAATTTTTTCCCCTAAAAAATACAGTTTTCTTACCCAAAAATTTAAATTTTTTTTCCCCAAAAAATCCCATTTTTTAAGCCCAAAAATTCAAATTTTCCCTCAAAAAATTCCCATTTTTTTCCGCAAAAAATCCTATTTTTCTGCCAAAACTTCCCATTTTTTAGTCAAAAATTTGATTTTTTTTCCACTTAAAATTGCATTTTATTACCCAAAAATTCCCATTTTTTACCCCAAAAATTCAAATTTTTCCTACCAAAAATTCCCATTTTTTAACTCAAAACACAAAGAAAATCTCAAAAAATTCCACAAAAAATCCCCCAAAATTCCCAAAAATTTGGCAAAATTTCCGCCAAAATTTTAATTTTTTTCGCCTAAAATTCAAAATTTTTTCCCCTAAAAAAATACAGTTTTTTTACCCAAGAATTTGAATTTTTTTCCCCAAAAAATTCCATTTTTTCCCCTAAAAGTTCAAATTTTTCCCTCAAAAAATTCCGATTTTTTTTCTCTAAAAAACCCCTGACTTTTTTCCCAAAAATTCCCTTTTTTTTGTCAAAAATTCTGTTTTTCCTCTTAAAATTGCATTTTTTACCCAAAAATTCCCATTTTTTTCCTCAAAAAAGTTCTCAATTTCCTCCCTAAAAAGTTCGATTTTTTCCCAAAAATTGGCATTTTTTCATGCCAAAATTCTCTTTTTTCCTCTTCAAAATTCACATTTTTTCACAAAAATTGCCATCTTTTGTGCCAAAATTTCCCATTTTTAACCCAAAAAAATCACAAAAAATTTCCCCCAAAAATTTAAGAAAAAAGGTCAAAAATCTCCCTCAAAATTTGAATTTTTCCCCCAAAATTCGATTTTTTTTCCGCCCAAATTCCCAATTTTCCCACCAAAAATTCCCACTTTTTCCCCCCAAAAAATCCCATTTTTCCCAGCAAAAATTCCCAATTTTTTGCAAAAAAATTCTGATTTTTCCCGCCAAAAATTCCCATTTTTTACCCCAAAAATTCCCAATTTTTTGCAAAAAAATTCTGATTTTTCCCGCCAAAAATTCCCATTTTTTACCCCAAAAATTCCCAATTTTTTTCACCACTATTTCCTTTTTTCCCGCCAAAGTTCCCAAAATTTTCCCGCCAAAATTTCCCAAATTTTTGCTCCAAAATTCCCATTTTTTTTCACAAAAATTTTGGTTTTTCCCGCCAAAATTGTTTTTTCCCGCCAAAAATTCTCATTAAAAAAAATTTCACATTTTTTTCATAAAAAATTCACATTTTTGGCACCCAAGAAATCCCAATATTCCCGCCAAAAATTCAAGATTTTCCCGCCAAAAAATTTTGATTTTTTCTCACCCAAATCCCCGTTTTTAACCCAAAAATTCGAATTCCTCCCCCCAAAAATCCCCTTTTTGTTCAGCAGAAAATCAAACTTTCTTACCCAAAAACTTGATTTTTTTCCCCCAAAATTTGCTATTTTTTTCCCGCCAAAATCTGATTTTTTATTCCAATGAAAATTCTGAATTTTTCTCCCCAAAATCCCCATTTTTCCGGCCAAAACTCGTCAATTTTCCCGCCAAAAATGCAAATTTTTCCCACCAAAAATGCAGATTTTTCCCGCCAAAAATTGGATTTTTTTTTTTTTAAGAGGGAAAAAATGGGATCTTTTGGGGGGAAAAAAAAGAAATTTTTTTGAGGGAAAAATTTTGAATTTTTAGGAAAATAAGGAATTTTTTTGAGTAAAAAAAATGGAATTTTTTGGGTAAAAATCCAGGATTTTTTGGCAAAAAGAAAAGAGTTTTTTGGCCAAAAAAATGGGAATTTTTTTTGAAAAAAAATGACATTTTTTGGATGAAAAAAAAAAGATTTTTTTGGGGAAAAATTGGATTTTTTGGGGGAAAAAACCAGAATTTTTTCGATGAAAAAATTAGATTTTTTTTTTGGTGGAAAAATGGGATTTTTAGGTGAAAAAAAATTAATTTTTTTGGAGAAAAACTTTGAATTTTTTTGGAGAAAAATGTTGGAATTTTTTGTGAAAAAATTGGAATGTTTTGGGAGAAAAATTTTTTTAAAAAAACCCCATTTTTTAAAGACAGAAATTGAGTTTTTTGGGTGAAAAAATTGGATTTTTTTGGAGGAAAAAAGGGATGATTTGGGAAAAAATCGGATTTTTTGGGAGAAAAAGTGGATTTTTTGGAGAAAATAATTAGTTTTTTTTAGAAAAATGGAATTTTTGGGGGGAAAAGTTTGAATTTTTTGGGAAAAAAATTGAATTATTGGGGAAAAAAATGGATTTTTTTGGGTGAAAAAATTGAAATTTTTTGGGGAAAAATTGGATTTTTCTGAGAAAAAAATCGAATTATTTTGGGGGGAAAAAAATTGGATTTTTTTGGAGAAAAAGTGGAATCATTTGGGGAAAAAACCCCGATTTTCTGAGAAAAAAAAAGCATAATTGTGGCAGAAAATTTGAATATTTTGGGGAAAAACCTGAATTTTTTGAGTGAAAAATAAGAATTTTTTGGATGAAAACATTGTATTTTTTGGACCAAAAAATTGAATTTTTTGGATGAAAAAATTGAAATTTTTTTGCCGAAAAATGGGATTTTTTAAGGAAAAAAGGCGAATTTTTGGCAAAAAAAGGGGAAATTTTTAGGGGTAAAACATCAGATATTTTTGTGGTAAAAAATAGGGCTCTTTTGGGGTAAGCAGGGCCGGTTTTGGTTAAGGCGTGTTTTGGGGGCAGGAAGCAGGAGGAGCGCGTGCAGCAGGTGCGCAAGAGGCTGGAGGAGGCGCTGCTGGCCGACGGGCTGAGCCGCGGCGCGGCCGACGCCGAGCGCGGCGACCAGGGCCCCAAGTGAGGTGAGAGACGGGGGCGGGAGCCGGGGCAAGGGGCTGCGCTGGGGAAATGGGGGAAAAATGGGGGGATTGGGGAATTGGGGACCAGGGCCCCAGGTGAGGTGAGAGACGGGGGCGGGAGCCGGGGCAAGGGGCTGCGCTGGGGAAATGGGGGATGGGGAAATGGGGAAACAGGAACCAGGGCAAAGGGGCGTTTTACTGGGGAAACGGGGAATGGGGAAATGGGGAAATTGCAACAAAAATGAGGGGAAAATGGTGGAAAATTGGGAAAAAATTGGGAAAAATGGGCAGAAAATTTGGAAAACATGGGGAAAAATTTGGGGAAAATGGGGGAAAAATTGGGGAAAATGGGGAAAAAATGGGAAAAAATTGGGGAAAATTCAGAATTTTTTGGAGAAAAAAATTGGATTTTTTGGGGGTAAAATTTGAATTTTTGGTGGGAAAAATTGGGGGAAAATTGGAAAAAAATGGGTCAAAATTGGGGGAAAATTGGGGGGAAATTGGGGAAAAATTGGGATTTTTGGGGGGAAAAACATGAATTTTTACAGGGGAAAAAATAGGAAAAAAATAGGGAAAAAGTGGGGGAAAAATTGGGGGAAAAATTGGGGAAAATTGAGGAAAAAATGGGGAAAAATTAGGGGAAAATTGGGGGGAAATGGAGAAAAACTGGAGAAAAATTGGGAAAAAATTGATTTTTTGGGGGGGAAAAATTGGATTTTTTCGGGGAAAAATGGAATTTTTACAGGGAAAAATTGGGGGAAAATTGGGGAAAAAATGGGGAAAAATTGGTGAAAAATGGGATTTCAAAGACAGAGATGGAGGAGGGGGAGAGCGGGCAGGAGGAGGGCGGGAAATGAGGTGAGAACCGGGGAAATCGGGAAAATGGGGAAATGGGGAAAATGAGATAATTGGGCAAAAGTTGAGGAAAAATTGGGGGAAAATTGGGAAAAAATGGAGGGGAAACGGGAGAAATTTGGGGGAAAATTGAGGAAAAATTGGGGGGAAAAGGGAAAAAATTGGGAGAAAATTGGAAAAAAATGGGGGAAAATTGGGGGAAAAAATAAAATTTTTATGGGGAAAAATGGGCAAAAATTGGGGAAAACTTGGGAAAAAAATGAGGAAAATGGGGGAAAAATTGGGGAAAAATTGGGGAAAAGTGAGGAAAAACTTGGAATAAAATGGGGGAAAATGGGGGAAAAATTAGGAAAAAATGGTTGAAAAATGGGAATAAAATGGGGTTTCAAACAGACGGAGCAGGGTGAGAGCGCGCAGGAGGAGGGCGGGAAATGAGGTGAGAACCGGGGAAATTGGGAAAATTGAGAAAAATGAGAAAATTGGGCAAAAATTGAGGAAAAATTGGGGGAAAAATGAGAGAAATTTGGGATAAAATTGGGGAAAATTGGGGAAAAAATTGAATTTTTTTGGAGTAAAAATTGGCTTTTTTGGGGGTAAAATTTGAATTTTTGGTGGGAAAAATTGGGGGAAAATGGGAAAAAAATGGGGGAAAAACTGGGGAAAAAATTGAATTTTTATGGGGAAGAATTGGGGAAAAGTAAGGAAAAAATTGGGGAAAATTGGGGGGAAATTCGGGGAATTGGGCAAAAAATTGGGAGAAAATCGGGTGAAATTGGGAGAAAAAATTGAATTTTTACAGGGAAAAAATGGGGAAAATTGGGGAAAAATTGGGGAAAATTGGGGGAAATTGGGGAAACTGGGAGAAAATTGAGGGAAAATTGGGGAAAAATTGGGATTTTTTGGGGGACAAAACATGAATTTTTACAGCAGAAAAATTAGGGAAAAAATGGGGAAAAATGGGGGGAAATTGGGGAAAAATTGAAGAAAAATAGGGGAAAATTGGGGAAAAAATTTGAATTTTTTGGAGAAAAAATTGGATTTTTTGGAAAAAAAAATTCAATTTTTGGTCATAAAAATGGGGGGAAATGGGGGAAAACATGGGATTTTTTTGGAGAAAAAAAAGAATTTTTACAGGGAAGAAATTGGGAAAAATTGGGGGAAAATGGAGAAAAAAATTGAATTTTTTTTGGAGAAAAGTTGGATTTTTTAAGTTAAAAAATGGATTTTTATATGGAAAAATTGGGGGAAAATTTGGAATAAAATGGGGGGGAAATTGGGAAAAAAAAGGAATTTTTTGAGAAAAAAATTGGATTTTTTTAGGACAAAAATTGAATTTTTATAGGAGAAAAATTGGGGGGAAATTTGGGAAAAAATGGAGGAAAATGGGGGGAAAATTGGGGGAAAATTTGGGGGAAATTGGGATTTTTGGGGGGAAAAAATTGAATTTTTACAGGGGAAAAATGAGGGAAAATTAGGGGGAAATTGGGGGAAAAATGGGGGGAAATGGGACGAAATTGGGGGAAAAATGGGGAAAAATTTGGAATAAAATGGAGGGAAATTGGGAGAAAATTGGAGAAAAATTGGGGGAAATTGGGGGAAAAATGAATGTTTTTGGGAAAAGAAAGGGATTTTTTTAGGAAAAATTTGGATTTTTAAAGGGAAACAATTCGGGGAAAATTGGGAAAAAATGGGATTTTTTTCCGAAAGAAATTGAAATTTTTGGGAGAAAATGGGATTTTTTTAGGAAAAAAATGAGGTTTTTTGGGAAAATTTGGGGGCAAATTGGGTAATTGGGGAAAAACTGGGGAAAAATTGGGGGAAAAATTTGGTTTTTAGGGAAAAATTGAATTTTTATAGGGAAATTGGATATTTTTTGGGGAAAAAAATTGTTGTGCTTAAGAAAAAATTGAATTTTTTTAAGGGAAACTGGGGGAAAATTGAGGGGAAATGGGAAAAGAGATTGGATTTTTTTAGGAAAAAAAATTGGATTTTTTGAGAAAAAAATTGGGGGAAAATTGGGGAAGAATGGAGAGAAATCAGATTTTTTAAGGAAAAAAATCGAGTTTTTTCAGGGGAAAATTGGGGGGAAAATGAAAATTTTGGTGGGGAAAATTGAGGAAAAATTGGGGGAAAATAGGAGAAAAAATTGGGAAAATTGGGGAAAAATTTGGGGAAAATGGGTTAAAAAACGGACTTTTTTGGGGAAAAAAATTGAATTTATTCAGTGAAAAAATGGGGAAAAAATGAGAGAAAATGGGGGAAAATTGGGGAAAAATTCGGAGAGAAATCGAGAAAAAAATTGGAATTTTTTGGGAAAAATTTGATTTTTTTCTGGGAAAATTGGAGAAAAATTGGGGGGAAAATTGGGGAAAAATAGGGAAAAATTGAGAAAAATTGGGAAAAATATTGGAATAAAATGGGGAAAAATTGGGAAAATTTTTGGACTAAAATGTCGGAAAAATTGGAAAAAATTAGGAAAAAAATTAAATTTTTTTCCGGATTTTTTTGCTAAAATTTCCTTTAAAATTTTCTTAAAAATTCATTAAAAATCCCTAAAAAAATTAATTATTTTTTGTTTGTTTTTTTTCAGGTACGCAGAGTCCAAGGAAGACAAAAAATCCCCAATTTTTGAGGCACTTTTGAAATCTTTGGGAAATTTTTCATTTTTCCGAAGGTTTGGGAATTCCAAAAACGCCTTTTTTTAATTAAAAAAAAATCAAATTATTCTTTATTTTTTTGGATGTAAATAATTATAAAAAAATTAAAAATTAATCAAGAATTCCCAAGGAAAAAAAAATTGAATTTATTTGGAGTTTTTTTCCTGCTTTTTTTTTTGTTGTTTCCACGTTAAAAAAAAAATGGAATTTTTTTGGGAATTCCGGAATTTGTGGTTTTTAAAGGAAAAAAATATGGAGCAGGAATTGTGTAAATAAATGGAAGAAATTTTAAATTTTTTCGGGGAATTTATGTGGATTTTTTTGGGGGGGGAAATGGGGAAAATTGGGGGAAAATTGGAGAAAAAATTGGATTTTTTTAGGAAAAAATTGGGGGGAAAATGGAATTTTTTGGGAGAAAAATGGGGGAAATAAATTGAAATTTTGGGAGGAAAAATGGGGAAAAAATTGGGAGAAAATTGGGAAAAAATGGGGAAAATATTGAATTTTTTGGGGCGAAATTTGGGGGAAAAAATTGGAATTTTTTCAGAAAAATAGAGAAAAAGAATTGAATTTTTGGGGAAATAAATTGAATTTTTGGGGAAAAATGGGAAATAAATTGAATTTCCTACAGAAAAATAGAGAAAAAAATTGAATTTTTTGGGGGGGGAAATTGCGAAAAAAGGGGGGAAAATTGGGAAAAAAGTGCAATTTTTTAAGGAAAAAATGGGGGAAAAACTGGGGAATAAATTGAGTTTTTTTGGGAGAAATGGGGAAAAAATGGGAAAAATTGAATTTTTATAGGGAGAAATTGGGGAAAAATGGGGGGGAAATTTGGGAAAAAAATTGAGGGAAAAATGGGAAAAAATTGAATTTTTGGGGGAAACATTAGGGAAAGAAATTGAATTTTTGGGTGGAAAAATTGGGAAAAAAGCGGCATTTTTGGGGAAAAAGTGGGAAAAAAATTTGGATTTTGTTGGAAAAATTGGGGGGAAATGGCAGAAAAATTTCATTTTTTGGGGAGAAATGGGCTAAAATTTGGGGGAAATTGGGAAAAAATGGGAAAAATTGGAATTTTTGGGGGAAAATACAGAAAAAAAAGAATTTTGGGGGAAAAATGGGGGAAAAGCAGAAAAAAGTGGAATTTTTGGGGGAAAAATGGGGAAAAAATGGGAAAAAAGTTGATTATTTTAGGGAAAAAGTGGGGGGAAATTGGCAAAAAATTGAATGTTTTGGGGAAAAATTGGGAAAAAGTGGAGTTTTTGGGGAAAAATTGAGAAAAAAATTGAATTTTTTTTGGAAAATAGGGGAAATGGGAAATAAATTGAATGGTTTTGGAATAATTGGGGGAAAAATTGGGAGAAATTTGGGGAAAAATTGGGAAAAAATTGATTTTTGGGGGGAAGATTGGGAGAAAATTGGGAAAAAATTTGGGGTTTTTTTCAGAAAAATAGAGAAAAAGAATTGAATTGTTTGGGAGAAAAATGGAGATAAAATTGAATTTTTGGGGAAAATTGGGGAAATAAATTGTATTTTTGGGGGGAAAATTGAGAAAAAATGAGAGAAAAATTGGGGAAAATATGGGAAAGAATTTTAATTTTGGGGGGAAAAAATGGGGGAAAATTGGGAACAAAATTGAATTTTTTGTGGAGACATGGGGGGAAATTTGGGGAAAATTGGGGAAATAAATTGAATTTTTGGGAGGAAAAATTGGGGGAAAATTGGCAAAATAAATTGAATTTTTTGGGGGGAAAAATGGGGAAAAATTGGGGAAAAAGTGGAATTTTTGGGGGAAAAATGGGGGGGAAATGGGAAAATTGGGAAAAAAATTTATTGGAAAAAAGGGGGGGAAAATTGGGGAAAAAAATGGGTGGGAAATTGAATTTTTTTGGGGAAAAAAGGGGGAATAATTGGGAAAAAAGTGGAATTTGTTGGGGGAAAAAATGGAAAATTGGGAAAAAAATTGGGTTTTTTTGCAGAAAAATAGAGAAAAATAATTGATTTTTTGGAAAAATGGGAAAAAATTGAATTTTATTGAAGAGAAAATGGGGAAAAATTAGGGAAATAAATGGAATTTTGCGGGGAAAAGTGGGGGGAAATTGGGGAAAAATTGGATTTTTTGTGGAAAAAATTGGGGGGAAATTGAAATTTTTTGGAGAAAAAATTGGGGAGAAATTGGGAAAACAATCGAATTTTTTGTGGAAAAAAATGAGAAAAAAAATTGAAGTTTTGGGGGAAGATGGGGGAAAAATAGGAAATAAATTTTTGGGAAAAATTGAGAAAAAAAATTGAATTTTTTTACAGAAAAATAGAGAAAAATAATTGAATTTTTGGGGGGGAAAAATTGAATTTTTTGGGGAAAATTGGGGAAAACTTTGAATTTTTTTTTGAAAAATAGAGAAAAAGAATTGATGTTTTTGGAAAGAAATGGGGGAAAATTGGGGAAAAATTGAATTTTTTCGGGAAAAATGGGGGGAAAGTTGGGATAATTTTTTTTTTTTTAAACAATGGGGGAAAATTGGAGATAAAATCAGGAATTTTTTGGGGAAAAATAGGAATTTTTTTGGCTGTTAGATGGGAATTTTGGGGGAAAAAATGGGAAGTTTTTGAGGAAAAAATGGGAAATTTGGGGGGGGAATTTTTAGAAAAAATTGGGGGTTTTTTTTAGAAAAATGGTAATTTTTTGGCTAAATTACTGGAGTTTTTGAGGTAAAAAAATCGGGATATTTTGGTTAAAAATTGAGAATAAACTGGGAAAAATTGAAATTTTTTGAGAGAAATTGGGGGAAAATTGGGAGTTCTGAGGGAAAAATTTGGACTTTTTTGGAAAAAATTGGTAAAAAATTAAGGGACTTTTTTGGAAAAAATCAGGAATTTTTTAGGAAAAAAATTGGAAAAATTTGGAAAAAGTTGGGGAATTTTTTTGAAAAAAATGGGAAAATTTAGCAAATACTGGAATTTTTAAAGAAACAACTGGGAAATATTGGGGAATTTTTTTGAAAAAATTGAAGGGAAATTTTAAGGATAAATAAGGGAAAATTTGAGGGAATTTTGGGGGGAATTTTTGGGAAAATTAGGGAAAATATTTTAGGGAATACTGAGAAAAAATTTGGGAATTTTGGGATTATTTGGGGGAAAATGGGAGAAAATTTGGGGGAAAATGAGTACAAAAATTGGGGAATTAATTTTTTTATTTTGGAAAACAAAAATTTAGGAGATTTTGGGGATTTTTTGATAAAAAATTGTGAAAAAATTCCCAAAATTCCTCGTTGGGAATGAGGAGCGTGAAGGGTGGCCGCGTTTTCCCGCCCTTTTCACCGCTGGGCGGGGCTTTGCACGTCTTAGCCAATCAGCACCCGGCTTGCTGCGCCTCAGCCAATAGCGAGCCGGCTGAGGTTTTAAAATGGGCGGGCGATGACGGGGGCGGCTCATCTGGCAGACGCGGCGGGAGCGGGGCCGGAGCTGTCGTGAGGTAAAAATTGGATTTAATTGCTTTTTTTTGTTTTATTTTTATAAAATATTCAATTTAGGGCTGGCCGGGCTGAATTGCTGAGGAAAAAATGGGTTTAATTTTTTTTTTTTTAAATCAATATTCCATTTGGAGCCGCCCCACAGCTGCCATGAAGTAAAAGCCGGGATTTTTAAAATGATTTTTGTTTTATTTCTAGAAAATATTCAGTTTGGGGCTGCCCGGGCTGAATTGCTGAGGAAAAAATGTTTGGTTTTTTTTTATTTTATTTTTATAAAATATTCTAGTTGGAGCGGCCCCGCTGCTGCCTTGAAGTAAAAACCGTGTTTTAAATTTCTTTTTGTTTTATTTTTCTAAAATATTCAATTTTGGGCTGGCCGGGCTGAAGTGCTGAGGAAAAATGGGTTTAATTTTTTAAATTTTTATAAAATATTCCAGTTGGAGCGGCCCCGCAGCTGCCGTGAAGTGAAAGCCGGGATTTAAAAAATTATTTTTATTTTTCTAAAATATTCAATTTGGGGCTGCCCGGGCTGAATTGCTGAGGAAAAAATGTTTTTGTTTTTTTTTTTTTATTTTTATAAAATATACCTGCCATGAGTTAAAAATGGGATTTAATTTCTTTATTGTTGTTGCATTTTTAATTAAAATCGGAGCTGCCGGGGGGGAGGGTTTCGTGAGGTAAAAATGGGATTTAATTTCTTTATTTTTATTGTGTTTTTAATTAAAATCGAAGCTGCCGGGGGGTTTCGTGAGGTAAAAATGGGATTTAATTCCTTTATTTTTGTTGTATTTTTAATTAAAATCAGGGGTTTCGTGAGGTAAAAATGGGATTTAATTCCTTTATTTTTGTTGTATTTTTAATTAAAATCGGAGCTGCCTGGGGGGGTTTCATGAGGTAAAAATGGGATTTAATTTCTTTATTTTTGTTGTATTTTTAATTAAAATCGGAGCTGCCTGGGGGGGTTTCATGAGGTAAAAATGGGATTTAATTTCTTTATTTTTGTTGTCTTTTTAATTAAAATCGGGGGATTTCGTGAGGTAAAAATGGGATTTGATTTCATTATTTTTATTGTATATTTAATTAAAATCGGAGCTGCGTGGGGGGTTTCATGTGGTAAAAATTTGATTTAATTTCTTTATTTTTGTTGGATTTTTAATTAAAATCAGAGCTGCATGGGGGTTTCATGAGGTAAAAATGGGGCAGAATTTTGATTTTTTTGTTTATATTTATCAAACATTTGACATTTTTTCCGTTGAATTCCATTTTATCCTCTCTAAAATAATTTTTTTTTCTCGAATTCCCTTTTTCTTCCTAAAAATTCCCAAATTTCCACCCAAGAATTTCTATTTTTTCCCACCAAATTTCTTATTTTTTTACCACAATTCCCAAAAAATTCCAGTTTTTTCTCTGAAAATTTGCATTTTTTCCCCTCAAAAATTACCGTTTTTCCTTCCAATAATTCCCAATTTTGCCCCTCAAAAAATGCCATTTTTTACCCAAAAAAATCCCTTTTTTCCCAACAAAATTCCCAACTTTTCCCCTCAAAAAATTCCTATTTTTTACTAAAAGTCCCCTTTTTTATCTTAAAAATTTCCCTTTTTCCTCAAAAAAATCAGATTTTTAAATTAAAATTTGGTATTTTTTTCTGGAAATTTGAGGGGGAAAAATCTCTTTTTTTTCCCCCCAAGAAATTATCATTTTTCCCTCAAAAAATGAGAAATTTTGAGGGGAAAAAAGGGAATTTTAGGAAAAAAATTTAGACTTTTTAGAGGAAAAATGGGAATTTTTTGAGGGGAAAATGGGAAATTTTTTGAGGGGAAAATTAAGAGTTTTTGGTTAAGAAATAAGGAAAATTTGGGAAAAATTCGGCATTTTTTAGGAAAATAAAGGGAATTTTTTGGTAAAAAATGGGAATTTTTGAGGGAAAAATTGGAAATTTGAGAATTTTTGGTAAAAGAATTGAAATTTTGATTAAAAAATTGGAATTTTGGGAGAAAAAATTTTGGTAAAAAATTCGAATTTTGGGGGGAAAATTGGGAATTTTTGAGAGGAAAAATTTGGAATTTTAGAGGGAGAAAAATTTGAATTTTTTGAGGGAAAATAAATGGAATTTTTAAGGGGTAGAAATGGGAATTTTTGGGTTAAAAATGGGAAATTTTGGGGTTTAAAAATAGGAAATTTTGGGTTAAAAAATTGGGAATTTTTAAGGGGGAAATATTGGGAATTTTGTGGGTTTTTAATCCAAATTATTTCTCCAATATTGAAATAAAAAGAATCACCCAGGTGTGTGCGTGTGGTTAATTAATGGAATTAGTTTAATTAATGAGGACAGGTCATTGAAGGAAATCATCCACAAGGTTGGTGTTACATGACTTTTGTTTTGTTTTATTTTATTTTATTTTATTTTATTTTATTTTATTTTATTTTATTTTATTTTATTTTATTTTATTTGTTTGGTTTTATTTTTATTTTTATTCATTGTATTATTTTTTGTTTATTTTTTAACATTTAATTTTGTTATTTTTATTTTAATTTATTTAATTTTTTAATATAATTTTATTTTCTTTATTTTAAATTTTATTTATTGTATTTTATTTAAATTTAATTTATTTTATTTTATGTAACTTTATCTTAATTTAATTTTATTTAATTTTTACTTTAATTTCATTTAATTTTAAATTTATTTTGTTAATTTTATTTATTTTATGTTAATTTAATTTAATTTAATTTTGTTTTATTTTGTTATTTTTATTTTAATTATTTTTTTTAAAAAATTTAATTAAATTTATTTTTTAACGATTTCATTTCATTTTCATGTTACAAAATATCACAAAAATCAAATGAAAAACCAACAAATCCCCACCAAACCCCCACTAATTAATCAATTAACCACCCCACAATTAATAAATAATCACTAATCAATAATTAATTAACGACACCAAACTCAGAATTTTCTATCAAAACTTTATTTAAATTCAGAATTCTACAAAAAAATTTGGGGGGAATTTTCCCGCTAAAAACGCTACAAAAAACCGGGATATCCCCTTCCTAGATGAATAAATTAGCATAAATTATGCAAATCGGATGCAAATGAGGGGGACTAAACCACACCTACCCCTAATTGGAATTGCCGGAGGTGCTGGAAATTCCCATTTTTGAGGGGAAAAATTTGAATTTTTGGGGAAAAAAATTCGATTTTTTTAGGCGAAAATTGAGGAATTTTTGGAGGAAAAAATCAAAATTTTGGGAGAAAAAATTTTGATTTTTTGGGGGAAAAAAATTGGATTTTTTGAGGTAAAAAATTGAATTTTTTGTGGAAAAAAATTGATTTCTTAGGGGAAAATTGAGGAATTTTTGGGGAAAAAAATGGAATTTTTTGAGGTAAAAAATGGAAATTTTGGGGAAAAAATTTTGATTTTTTCAGGGGAAATTGAGGAATTTTGGGGGAAAATTTGATTTTTTGGGGGAAAAAATTTGAATTTTTTGGGAAAAAATCAAAATTTTGGGGGAAAATTTTGATTTTTTGGGGGAAAATTGAGGAAATTTGGAGGAAAAAATATTATTTTTGGGGGTAAAAATGAATTTTTAGGGATAAAAATTGGAAATTTTTGGGAAAAAATTTTGATTTTCTAGGGGAAAGTTGACGAATTTTTGGGGAAAAAATTTTGATTTTTGGGGGAAAAAATCTGAATTTTTTGAGGTAAAAATTGAATTTTTAGGGGAAAAAAAATTGATTTTTTTAGGGGAAAAAATTTGATTTTTTTGGAAGAAAAATTGGAAATGTTTAGGGACAAAACTTGATTTTTTTGGGAAAAAAAAATTCAATTTCTTGGGGGAAAAGTTTGAAATTTTTTTGGAAAATAATTCCTGCTATTTTGGGAAAAAAATTCAAACGTTTAGGAAAAAATTCAATTTTTGATTGGAAAAATGGAAATTTTTGGTCAAACATTGGATTTTTTTGGGGAAAAAAATCCCAATTTTTGGGAAGAAAAATGGAATTTTTGAGGGAAATAAATTCCAGTTTTTTTGGGAATAAATTCTAATTTTTGGGGGCATAAAATTCTCATTTTTTAGGCAAAAGTTTCTATGAAAAAATTGAAAATTCTTAGGGAAATATCAAAATTTTAAGGAAAAAATTAAAATTGTTTAGGAAAAAATTCAAATAATTTAGAAAATATATTTTAGGGAAATTTTTCCAGAAAAAAATAATTCAAATTTTTTAGGAAAAAAAAAAATTTTTTTAGGGGAAAATTCAAATTTTTTAGGGGAAAATTTCCAATTTTTTGGGAAAAAAATCCCAATTTTTAGGAAGAAAAATGGAATTTTTGTGGGAAATAAATTCCAGGTTTTTGGAGAAGAAATTTTAATTTTTTGGGGAAAAAAGTCTCATTTTTTAGGAAAAATTTTTAAATTTGTTACAAATAAAATCAGGTTTCTTATGAAAAAATTGAAATTTTTCAGGGAAAAAAATCAAAATTTTAAGGAAAAAATTCAATTATTTCAATTTTTTTAGGAAAAAATTCAAAGTTTTTAGGAAAAGATATTTTAGGGAAAATATTCCAATTTTTTAGGAAGAAAATGCAAAAATTTTAGCGATAATTTTCAAGATTTTTAGGAAAAAAATTCCGAATTTTTTTAGGGAATATTTTCAAAATTTTTTCAGAAAAAATTCTATTTCTTAATAAAAAAAATCCCAATTTTTTAGAAAAATTCGAACTTCTAAGGAAAAATTTTCAAAAATTTTTCAGAAAAAACTCAAATTTTAGTAAAAGAATTCCTATTTTTTAGGAAAAGTTTTCAAATTTTTCAGAAAAGAAATTTCAAATTTTTAGGGAAAATTTTTAATCTTTAACCTCAGTTTTTTAGGGAATAGAATTCAATTTTTTAGGAAAAAAATTTCAATTTTTTTGTCCAAAAAATTCCATTTTTTCACTATTTTTCCCCTAAAAACCCAGAAAAAAAAAGGAATTTTATGAATTTTTTTTATTTTTATCATTTTTGGGGAATTTCAGGGATTTTATTTTTAAATTCAATTTTTTTAGGGAAAAAATTCAATTTTTTGGGAAAAATTTCAATGTTTTAGGGAAAAAAATTCAATTTTTTAGGAAAAAAAATTTCAATTTTTTAGGGAAAAATTTTAATTTCTTGGGGGAAAAAAATACCAATTTTTACAGAAAAAAACCTGCATTTTGGGGGGGAAAAAAATAAAGTTTTTAGGGGAAAAAATACTCAATTTTTTAGGGAAAAAATTCAAAATTTTTTGGCAAAAAATTTCAATATTTTAGGGAAAAAATTCAAATTTTGGGGGGAAAAAATCCATTTTTTTGTCCAAAAAATCCATTTTTTCCCCTAAAAACCCAGAAAAACAAGGGAATTTTATGGAATTGGAGGGAATTGTTTCATTTTTCTCATTTTTCGGGAATTTCCACTCCGGGAATTGCTCGAACTAAAAGGCGGAGCCGGTGATGGCGTTGAGTTGTTTCATCAGCCCCTCCAGACTGGCCATCTGCTCGCTCAGCTCGTCCTGCTCGTACACCTGGGGAAACAATTCCATTTCTTTCCAATTCTACTCACATTTAGGGCCCAAATTTTCCCCAATTTTTCCCCATTGTAATCCAAATTTTTCCCCAAGATTTTCCCATTTTATTTCAATTTTCCCCCCATTTTTTCCCAATTTCCCCCCATTTTATTCCAAATTTTCCCTCCTTTTTCCCCATTTTCTTCCCAATTTAATTCAAAATTTTCCTCAATTTTTCTCCATTTTTCTCTCAATTTTCCCCCCATTTTCCCCAATTTTATTATAATTTTTCCCCAATTTTATTTTAATTTTTCCCCATTTTCCCCCAATTTTATTTCAATTTTCCCCCATTTTAATCCAAATTTTCCCCCAATTTTTCCCCCATTTTACCCCAAAATTTTCCCCAATTTTCACCATTTTTTCCCCATTTTTTGTCCAAAAATTGGGAAAAAATTGAAATAAAATTTGGAAAAAAGGGAAAAAGGGAATAAAATTAGACAAAAATTGGGGAAAAATTGAAAATAAAATGGGAAAAAAATCAGAATAAAATGGCAAAAAAAAATAGGAAAATTGAAATAAAGTTGGGGGGAAATGGGGAAAAAATTGAAATAAAGTTTGGAAAAAATTGAAATAAAATGGGAATAAAATTAGAAAGAATGGGGAAAAATTGAAATAAAATTGGGAAAAATGAGGGAAAAATGGGAATAAAATTAGAAAAAAATTGGGGAAAATTGGGATAAAATTGGGAAAAATGAGGGAGAGAATGGGAAAAAAATTGGGGAAAAAATTGAAAAAAAAACAGAAGAGGGAAAATTTGGGGGAAAATTGGGCGAAAATTGAAAATAAAACTGGAAAAAAATCAGAATAAAATTGCAAAAAAATTGGGAAAAAATTGAAATAAAGTGGGGAAAAATTGAAATAAAATGGGGAAAAATAGAAATAAAATTGGGGGAAAATTGCAAAAAAATGGAGAAAATATGAGGAAAAAATTGGGAAAGAAATTGAAATAAAATGGGGAAAAATCAGAATAAAATTGGGGGGAAAAATGGGGAGAAATCAGGAAAAAAATGGGATAAAATTGGGGGAAAATGGGGAAAAATTGAGGAAAAATTGGGAAAAAATTCAAAATAGAATTGGAAAAAATAGGAAAAAATTGGAAAAAATTTGAAATAAAATGCGGAAAAAATGGGGGAAAATGAAAATAAAAATGGTAAAAAAATTGAAATAAAAATGGGGAAAATTGGGAAAAAATGGTTAAAATTTAAATTAAAATGGGGAAAAATTGAAATAAAATGGCCGAAAAATTGGGAAAAATGAGGAAAAAAACTGGGAGAAGAAATGGTGAAATTTTGAAATAAAATTGGGGGGAAATGGGAAAGAAATGGGGGAAAAATTGGGAAAAAATTAAATAAAATGAGGAAAATATTGAAATGAAATTGGGGGAAAATGGGAAAAAAATTGAAATAAAATGGGAACAAACGGAATAAAATTGGGAAAAATGGGGAAAAATGGGGAAAAATCAAAATAAAATTGGGGAAAAATGCCAGGAAAAAGTGAGGAAAAATTGGGGAAAATAGAGAAAAAATTGGAAAAAAATTGAAATAAAATGGGGGAAAATTAAAATAAAATTGGGAAAAATTGAAACAAAAATTGGGGAAAAGTTGAAATAAAATTGGGAAAAAATGGTTGAAATTGAAATAAAAATGGGGGAAAATTGAAATAAAATAGGAGAAAAATGGGTAAGAAATGGGGGGAATATTGGGAATAAATTGAAATAAAATAGGCGGAAAATGGGGAAAAAATTGAAAAAATTGGGATAAAATTAAAAAATCTAAAAGTGGGGGGAAATGGGGGGAAAATTGGAATAAAAATGGCAATAAATGGGGAAAAATTGGGAAAAAAATTGAAAAAATGGGGAATAAACTTGGGAGTAAAATCAGGAAAAATCTAAAGAAAATGGGGAAAAATTGGGAAAAATTGAAATAAAATGCAAAAATTCAGTAAAAAATTAGGAAAATGGGGAAAAAATTCAGGAAAAAAGGGGAAAAAAATCAGGAAAAAATTCCAAATAAAATTGGGAAAAAAAGAAAAAAATTGGGAAAAATATGAAATAGAAGTGGGAAAAAACTGAAATAAAATTCGCAAAAAAAATGGAAAAAATTGGGGAAAATAGAGAAAGAATTGAAAAAAAATTGAAATAAAATGGGGAAAAATTGGGGAAAAAATAAAATAAAATTGGGAGAAAATGGGGAAAAATTAAAACAAATTTCGGATAAAATTTGGGAATTTTTTTGTTCTTACGTTGGAGGAATCCGGGGAAGTTTTTGGGTCCTCGGGGGATTCCGGAGCCATGGGAACGGAGACGGGCAGGAGAGGAGAGCGGGGTTTAACCGGGAAGCCCAGAGAGGCTGTCTTCAGAGAAACTGGGGCTGGAAAGAGAGAAAAATGAGATTAAAAATGGGAAAAAATTTGGAGAAAATCGGGGAAAAAATGGCGGAAAAATGGAAACAAAATGGTGGAAAATTGGGAACAAAATGGCGGGAAATGGGAACAAAATGGCGGTAAAATGGGAAGAAAATGGTGGAAAAATGAGAAGAAAATGGCAGAAAAATAGGAACAAAATGGTGAAAAATTCGGAACAAAATGGCGGGAAATGGGAACAAAATGGTGGAAAATTGGGGACAAAATGGCGGAACAATGGGAACAAAATGGGGGGAAAATGGTGGGAAAATTGAAAGCAAAATGGCAGAAAAATGGGAACAAAATGGTGGAAATTTTGGAACAAAATGGTGGAAAATGGAAAAATGGTGGACAAATTGAAAAAATTGGAATAAAATGGGGGGAAAATGGACAAAATTAGGGAAAAATGGGAAGAAATTGGGAAAAATTGGAATAAAATGGGGGGAAAATGGACAAAATTAGGGAAAAATGGGGGGAAATTGGGAAAAATTGGAATAAAAGTGGGGAAAATAGGAAAACATTGAGGATAAAATGGTAGAAAAATGGGGGGAAATTGACAAAAAAAGTGCAAAACAGGGAAAAAATTTTAGAAATTGGGAAAAAAATAAAAGGAAAAATTAGGGAAAAAATAGGAATAGAATTGGGGAAAATGGGGAAAAATTGGAATAAAATGGGGAAAAATGGGTAGAAAATTTGGGAAAAAATTTGAAAAAATTGGGAAAAAATTTGCAAAAAGGGGGAAAAATTGGAATAAAATGGGGAAAAATGGGTAGAAAATTTGGGAAAAAATTTGAAAAAATTGGGAAAAAATTTGCAAAAAGGGGGAAAAATTGGAATAAAAATGGGAATAAAAATGGAAGAAAATGGCAGAAAAATGAGAAGAAAATGGTGGGAAAATGGGGAAAAAATTACAAAAAAAAGGGGAAAAAATCAGGAAAAAATTGGGGGGAAATGGAAAAAAATTGGGGAAAAAATTGGGAGAAAATTGGGAAGAAAATGGGGAAAAAATTACAAAAAAAAGGGGAAAAAATCAGGAAAAAATTGGGGGGAAATGGAAAAAAATTGGGGAAAAAATTGGGAGAAAATTGGGAAGAAAATGGGGAAAAAATGGAAATAAAATGGTGGAAATTGGGAACAAAATGGCGGAAATGGGAACAAAATGGCGGGAAAATGGAGGAAATGGTGGGAAAATGGAATAAAGTGGGGGAAAAATGGAGAAAATTAGGAAAAAATGGGAAAAAATTGAGAAAAAATTGGAATAAAATGGGGGAAAAATAGGAATAAATAGGGGAAAAGTTGGGAAGAATTGTGGATAAAATTGGGGAAAATAGGGAAGAAAATGGTGTAAAATTAGGAAAAAAATGGGGAAAAATTGGGGAAAAAAATTCAAAAAATCTGGAAAAATTGGGGAAAAATTGGAATGAAAATGGGCAAAAATTGGAAAAAAATGGGAAGAAAATTGGAAGAAAATGGCAGAAAAATATGAATAAAATGGTGGAAAAATCGGGGGAAAAATTGAAAAAAAAAAGGGAAAAAATGGGAAAAATCATAAAAAAATAGGAAAAAATTGGGGGAAAATGGAAAAAAAAAGTGAGAAAATTGGGAAGAAAATGGTGGGAAAATGGAAATAAATTGGTGGAAATTTGGAACAATATGGCGGAAATGGGAACAAAATGGTGGGAAACTGGAGAAAATGGCAGGGAAATGGAAAAATGGCGGGAAAAATTGAAAAAATTGGAATAAAATGGGGGAAAATAGGAAAAATTTGGGATAAAATGGGGGAAAATAGGAAAAAATTTGGGATAAAATGGGGGAAAATAGGAAAAATTTGGGATAAAATGGCAGAAAAATGGGGAAAAATTGTCAAAAAAATTGGGAAAAAATTTAAAAAATTGGGAAAAATAAAGGAAAAATTAGGAAAAAAATGGGAATAAAATTGGGGAAAAATTGGAATAAAAATGGGGAAAAATTCCTAAAAAGTAAGGAAAAATCAGAAAAATTTGGGGAAAAAAATCAGCAAAAAATGGGGAAAAATGAAAAAAAATTTATTTTAGTTTTTACCTTGTTGAAAAACAGAATTATAGGAGATTTTGGGCTCCAGGGCGTTGCCAAAGCTGCACAGGGGGTGGGTGGGGCAGATGCAGGCGGTGGGAATGGAATGGGGGAAATTGGGGGAAAAATGGAGAAAAATTGGGGGAAAAATGGGAGAAAATTGGGGAAAAAAATTGGAGAAAAATGGGAGAAAATTGGGGAAAAAAATTGGAGAAAAATGGGAGAAAATTTGGGAGAAATTTGGGGGAAAATGGAAATAAAATGGTGGAAATTGGGAACAAAATGGTGGAAAAATGGGAACAAAATGGAAAAGTGGCGGGAAGATGGAAAAATGGCAGGAAAATTGAAAAAATTGAAATAAAATGGGGGAAAAATGGAGAAAAATTAGGGAAATATGGGGGAAAATTGGCAACAATTGAGAAAAAATTGGGATAAAATAGCGGAAAAAATTGGGGAAAATGGGAAGAAAATGGTGTAAAATTAGGAAAAAAGTGGGAAAAAATTCAGAAAAATTGGGGAAAAATTGGAATAAAAATGGGGAAAAATTGGGGCAAAAATGGGAATAAAATTGGAATAAAATGGAAAAAAATTGTGAAAAAATATTAATGAAATGGCAGAAAAATGGGGGAAAATTGGGAAAACCTGGGGGAAATTGGGGCAAACGGGAAAGGATGTAATGCATTGGCTGGCCCTTTACCTGGCTGCAGGACGGCAGCATAGGAGAGCGCGGGCTCCAGCGCGCTGCCGAAGCTGCGCAGGGCGTGGCTGGGCCGCACGCAGGCCGTCGGGATCGTCCTGCCGGGCGCCTCCTCCGAGCCCGGCTGCTCGGCCGCCGCGGCGCCAGCACCGCCTGCAACGGCACATGCAACGTGGGAGAGAGCTCCAGTGGGCAAGTCTGGGCTCACACGGGGAGCTCTGGGCAGAAATACTGGAGGTTTGGGGGAATCAGCTTTGTTAAGATAGTTTTCTACAAAAAAAATCCTAATTTTTACCAAAAAACATTCCATTTTTTTAGCCCAAATTTTGAAAGAAAAAAATCTTATACTATTGTAAGTTTTTAGGATAAAAAGAATCATACATTTTCAGAAAAAGAATCCCAAATTTTGGAAAATAAATTGAATTTTTAATCCGATTTTTCCCCATTTTTTTAGCCTAAAATTCTCATTTTTGGACCAAAATGTCCCAAATTATCTCTAAAAATTTTTTATTATTTTCTAAATTTATATTTTTAATTAAAAATACAAAAAAATTAATTAAGTTTTGACTCACTTCTGGTGGCCAGGCTGGGGAAGGGCAGCGGGCACAGCGGGAAATTGGGAAAATCCCAAATTTTGGGGGAAAATGCTCAATTTTTTGGTAAACATTCCTGAATTTTGGGGAAAATTTCTGGGTTTTTTTGTAAAAGAATCATAGTATTTGCAACGAATAAAAAAGTTAATAAAAATTTCCAATTTTTTAACCGAATTTTGCACAACTTTTGGACAAAAATTCACAATTTTGGATGAAAAATTTTTAATTTTTTGGGGGAAAATCCCAAATTTTTTTGCAGAAACCCCTCAAATTTTTGAGCAAAAAATAGCCAAATTTTAAGTAAAAATATCCATATTTTTGGAGAAAAATTCCCAAATTTTGGGATAAAAATACCCGAATTTTTTAGGGAAAAATCTTCACATTTTTAGGAAAAAATTCCTCAAATATTTAGAAATAAATTTAAATTCTCGAATTTTGGAGTAAAAATATCCCAATTTTTGGAGAAAAATTCCCAAATTTTGAGCTAAAAATCCCAAATTTTGCAGAAAAATTCCCAAATTTCACAGAAAAAAACCCCTCAGATTTTAACCCAAATTTGGGCCAAAAAATTTCTAAATTTTAACCAAAAAATTTTAAATTTTTAGGACAAAATTCCAAAATTTTCAGGGAACAAATCCCAAATTTTGGAAAATAAATTGAATTTTTAATCCGTTTTCCCCCCCTTTTTTGGCCTAAAATTCTCATTTTTTCACCAAAACTTCCCATTTTTTTGCCAAAAAATGAGATTATTTTCTAAATGTCTATTTGGAATGAAAAGTAGGAAGAATGACTGAATTTGCGACTCACTTCTGGTGGCCAGGCTGGGGAAGGGCAGCGGGCGCAGCGGGCAGTGGGGCAGCGCCGGCGGCGAAGGCAGGACCCCGGGGTACTGCGAGCTCTCCAGGCTGGGCACGGGGATGGCGCTCACCACAGCTGGAAAATTAATTACAATTAATTAAAATAATTAATATTTAAGTGGAAAGAAAACCTCAGATTTCCCCATTTTTTTCCTCAAAAAAATCACATTTTTTAAGGCAAAAATCTGATTTTTTTTGCCATTTTTTAGCAAAAAAGTTCAAATTTTTCTCTACTTTTAGCCCTAAAAAAATCTCAATTTTTTACCTTAAAAATCCCAAGTGTTAACCCAAAAGATCGCAATTTTTTGTTCCAAAAATTCAATTTTTTTCTATATTTTTTGCCTAAAAATTCCTTTTTTCCCTCTTTTTTCCTAAATTTTCCCCAATTTTTCCCCCCAAAAATCCGAATTATTTTCTCATTTGTTGCCAAAAAAATTCCAATTTTCCCCCCAATTTTTTTCCAATTTATCCCCATTTTTCTCCTTTTTTCCCCCAATTTTTCCCCTATTTTTTCCCATTTTTAACCCTAAAAATCCCAGGTTTTTTCTCCAAAAATTTTGGGGTTTTTCCCCAGTTTTTCCCCCAAAAATTCAAAATTTTCTCCCAAAAAATTCTAACTTTTTCCCCATTTTTTCCTGTATTTTCCCCCATTTTTCTCCCAATTTTTCCCCACTTTTAATCCGAAAAATCCCAATTTTTAACCCTAAGAAAATCCCAATTTTTCCCCCCAAAAATCCCCATTTTTAACCCCAAAGCCCCGGGGCACTGCGAGCTCTCCAGGCTGGGCACGGAGATGGCGCTCACCACAGCTAAAATGTGGTTACAATTAACAAAAATAATTAATATTCATTAAAAGAGAAAAAAAATCCAATTTTTCCCACTTTTTTCCGCAAAAAATTCAAATTTTCTTCTCATTTTTTGCCTTAAAATTCCAATTTTTCCCCCATTTTTTCCCCATTTTTCTCCATTTTTTTCTGCGTTTTCCCCAATTTTTCCCCTAAAAATTCCGATTTTTTTTCTCATTTTTTGCCTAAAAATTCCAATTTTTTTCCAATTTTTTCTCTATTTTTCTCCATTTTTTCCCCAATTTTTCCCCATTTTTCACCCAAAAAAACCGCAATTTTTTCCTCAAAAAATCCCTTTTTCCCAAAAAATTGAAATATTTTCTCAATTTTTGCCTAAAAATTCGAAATTTCCCCCAATTTTTTCTCAATTTTCCCCCATTTTTCTCTATTTCCCCCCCAATTTTTCCCCTAAAAATTTAATTTTTTTCTCATTTTTTGCCTAAAAATTCCTTCTCATTTTTTGCCTTAAAATTCCAATTTTTCCCCCATTTTTTCCCCATTTTTCTCCATTTTTTTCTGCGTTTTCCCCAATTTTTCCCCTAAAAATTCCGATTTTTTTTCTCATTTTTTGCCTAAAAATTCCAATTTTTTTCCAATTTTTTCTCTATTTTTCTCCATTTTTTCCCCAATTTTTCCCCTAAAAATTCCGATTTTTTTTCTCATTTTTTGCCTAAAAATTCCAATTTTTTTCCAATTTTTTCTCTATTTTTCTCCATTTTTTCCCCAATTTTTCCCCATTTTTCACCCAAAAAAACCGCAATTTTTTCCTCAAAAAATCCCTTTTTCCCAAAAAATTGAAATATTTTCTCAATTTTTGCCTAAAAATTCGAAATTTCCCCCAATTTTTTCTCAATTTTCCCCCATTTTTCTCCATTTCCCCCCCAATTTTTCCCCTAAAAATTTAATTTTTTTCTCATTTTTTGCCTAAAAATTCCAATTTTCCCATTTTTTCCACTTTTTTCTCCAATTTTCCCCCTAAAAATTCAATTTTTTTCCTCATTTTTTGCCTCAAAGTTCCCAATTTTTTCCAATTTTTCCCTCTATTTTCCCCCATTTTTTCCTCAAAACTTCTCCATTTTTAACCCTAAAAATCCCATTTTATTTCCTCCAAAAATTTTGAATCTTTTTCCCTAAAAATTGAAATTTTTTCCTCATTTTTTCCCCAATTTTCCCACAATTTTTCCCCCAAAAATTCAATTTTTTTCCCCATTTTTCCCTAAAAAATTTGAATCTTTTCCCCAATTTTTTCCCAATTTCCCCCCAAATTTCCCCCTATTTTTCCCCTAAAAATTCAAATTTTTTCTCATTTTCCCCCTGATTTTTCATTCAAATGGGTTTGGGGAAAGGGGGGAATGAAAATGGGTTTGGGGAAAATGGGGAAAAGTCGAATTTTTTGGGGAAAAATTGGGGGAAAATTTCAAGTTTTTTTAAGGAAAAAATGGGGAAACATTTGAATTTTTTTAGGAAAAAATGGGGAAAAAAATTGAATTTTTAATGGAAAAATTAGGGTAAATTTGGGGAAAAATTGGTGGGAAATTGGGGAAAAATTCAAATTTTTTAGGGAAAAAATTGCAATTTTTATGGGGAGAAATGAGAAAAAAATTTAATTTTTTGGGAGGAAAAATTGGGGAAAATTGAAGAAAATTTGGAATAAAATTGGAATAAATTCAGAATAAAACTGCGAGAAAATTGGGGAAAAATGAAAAAAATTGGGGGAATTTTCAATTTTTTTGGAGGCAAATGGGAAGAAAATTTGACATTTTTGGGGGGAAATTAAGGAAAAAAAATTTAGGGAAAAATTGTGGATTATTTTGGGCAATTTTTGGCAAAAAAATTTGAGAATTTTTGGGATTTTCAGGAAGCTTAGGCCAAAAAAATTGAGATTTTTGGGGAATTTTTGGGAAAAATAGGGCAAAAAATTGGGAATTTTTGGATAAAAATTGAGATTTTTTTTAGGGAATTTTTGACTGAAAAATTGAGATTTTTGGGAGATTTTTTGGGGAATTTTTTGAAAAAATAGGGTGAAAAAATGGAATTTTTTCAGGATTTTTTGACAAAAAATTGGGAATTTTGGGGGGAATTTTTGACCAAAAAAAGAAGAAATTTTTTTAGCATTTTTTAGGGATTTTTTGAGAAATTTATGACAAAAAATTCGCATTTTTTGGGGGGGAATTTTTGGCCAAAAAATGAGATTTTTTTGTGATTTTTTGAGCAGTTTTTGACAGAAGAATCAGGATTTTGGGGGAAAACTTCCCAAACTGCTCACCTGTTTGTGGAGTATCCGAAGTGGCCGTTTCCCCCTGGGGGTTCTGTCCTTCCGGGGCCGTTCCCGGCCCCTTTTCCAGGGCTTTTTCCCGAAGTTTTTCCCGATTTTTCAGCTCCATTTCCTCGTGGTGAATCCACAAATCCGGGGGCCTCGGCTCCTTCTGGAGCCCTTTTCTTTTGCCCTGATTTCTGCAAAAAATCAGCCCAAAATTTAAAATTTTAAAGGAATTTTGGACCAAAAATCCCCTTTTTTCCCCCCCAAAAATTCTCTTTTTTCTCCCAAAAATTCCCTTTTTTCCCCCCCAAAAATTTCCTTTATTCCGCCCAAAAAATTTGAATTTTTCTTTGAATTTTTATCAAAAATTTTTATTTTTTCCACAAAAAATTCACAATTTTCCCCCAATTTTTCTCCCAAAAATTCACTTTTTTCCCCCCAAAATTGAATTTTAAAAGGAATTTTGGACCAAAAATCTCTTTTTTTTCCCTCCAAAAATTCCCAACTTTTAATTCAATTTTTGTCCCCAAAATTACAAAAAAATTCAATTTTTTCCCCAAATTTTCCCCCTTTTTATCCCAAAAATCCCCAAATTCTCCCCATTTTATCCCAAAAATTTCTCCTAAAATTCCCATTTTTTTCCTAAATTTTTACCCAAAAATTCAATTTTTTCTCCCCAAAATTCCCAGTTTCCCCCATTTGATCCCAAAAAATCCCAAATATTTTTCCCCCCCAAAAAAAATCTCCATTTCCCCCCCATTTTACCCCAAAAATTTTCCACATTTATAAAAAAAAAAATCCCTTTTTTTTCTCCCCCAAAACATCTGAATTTTTTATTGAATTTTTAAAGGAATTTTGGAGCAAAAATTCCTTTTTTTCCCCCCAAAAATTCCTTTTTTCCCCCAAAAAATTCCCCTTTTTTCCCCAAAAAATTTGAATTTTTTAAGGAATTTTTTAGGAATTTTGACCAAAAAAAATCTCTTTTTCTCCCAAAATATTCCCAACTTTTTATCCAATTTTCCCCCAAAAAATTACAAAAAAAAATTCAGTTTTTTTCCCAATAAAATTCAAAAATTTTCCCCCAAAATTCACAAATTTTATCCCAAAAATTCCCCAAGTTTTCTCAAAAAATTTCCCATTTCTTCCCCAAAAAATTCCCGAAAATTTCCCCTAAAATTCCCAACTTTTTCATACATTTTTTCCCAAAAATTCAATTTTTTCCCCCTAAAATTCCCCATATTTTCCCCCATTTCATCCCAAAAGTTCCCAAATTTTTTCCCAAAAATTCAATTTTTTCCCCCTAAAATTCCCCATATTTTCCCCCATTTCATCCCAAAAGTTCCCAAATTTTTTCCAAAATTTTCCACACAAATTCCCAATTATTCCCCCATATGATCCCAAAAATTCCCAATTTTTTTCCAAAATTTCCCCCAATTTTTCCTCTATTTTTCCCCGAATTTTCCCCAAAATTACCCCCAAAAATTCACATTTTTCCCCATTTTTTCCCCAATTTCTTCCATTTTTCCCCCAATTTTTTCACCATTTTTTCCTGAATTCTCCCCAATTTTTTCCCAATTTTCCCCCATTTTTTCCCTTCAAAAATTCACATTTTTCCCCCATTTTCCCCCATTTTTTCACCGATTTTTTTCATTTTTTCACTGTTTTTCCCCGAATTTTTTTCTCTTGATCTCCCAAATTTTGGGAATTTCAGGAATTTTGGCAATTCCTCACCTCCTTTTCCTCTCCAGGTGTCTCCTGGAGCACACCTAGCCTCCATTTTCCCCCAGTTTCCCTCCAAAATTGTCCAATTTTCCCCCAACTTTTTTCCAAATTTTTCTAAATTTTTCTTGAATTTTTCCCAATTTCCCCCCAATTATTTCCCGTTTTTTTCTCCCATTTTCCCCAAATTTTCCCGCAATTTTTCTCAATTTTCCCCCAAAATTCACCCAAAAAATTCACAATATTCCCCCAAAATTTTCCCAAATTTTCTCCATTTTTCCCCAATTTTTTCCCCAATTTTTTCCCCCATAATTCCCCCCAAAAATTCACTTTTTTCTTCAAAAATTCACGTTTTTTCCCCATTTTCGCCCATTTTTCCACATTTTTTCCCCATTTTTCCCCAAATTTCCTCCAATTTTTCCCCCAATTTTTTCCCATTTTCCCCCCATTTTTCCTCCATTTTTTCCAAAAATTCCCCCAAAGAACTCCCTTTTTTTCTCAAAAAATTCACATTTTTCCCCATTTTTTCCCCACTTTTCCCCATTTTTCCCCGATTTTCCCCATTTTTTCCCCGATTTTCCCCATTTTTCCCCGATTTTCCCCGATTTTCCCCACTTTTTCCCCATTTTTCCCCGACTTTCCCCACTTTTTCCCCGATTTTCCCCATTTTCCCCGATTTTCCCCGATTTTCCCCCGATTTCCCCCATTTTCCCCCGACTTTCCCCATTTCCCCCATGTCCCGTTTTCCTGCCCGGGTCCCGTGTTCTCCGGGGCTCCCCACCTCCTCTTGCTCTGCAGGCGCCTCCTGGAGCACAGGCCGGCCCCCAGGGCCGCGGCCAGCACGGCCACGGCGCCGCAGCTGCCCAGGACCAGCAGCAGGGCCCCGCCCTCCGACGGCGTCTGCTGCCTCTTGGGAGGCTCTGGGGATCCCAAAATGGGAAATTATCATTAAAAATTGGCGTTTTCCAAGGAAAAAAATCCCTAAAAAATCCTCCCAAAATTCCATAAAAATCAGCAAAAATTTGATTTAAATAGCCCAAAAATCGCATAAAAATCCCCAAAAATCCTCAAAAAATCCCAAAAAATCCCCAAAAATTACAAAAAAAATCCCCCCAAAAATCCCCCAAAATCCACAAAAAATCCCCAAAAATTCCCCAAAAAATATCCCCAAAAATTCTCCCCAAAATCCCCAAAATTTCCTTCTAAAATTAAAAACAAATCCCACCAAAAAATAAAAAAATTTTCCCAAAAATTCCCCAACAATCTTCCAAAAATTCCCCTAAGGTCCTAAAAAAATCCCTACAAGTCCAAAAAAATCCCCCCAAAAAATTCCCCAAAATCCCCCAAAAATGCCCAAATAATTCCACAAAAAATCCCAAAAATTCCCAAAAAAATCCCCCCAAAAAATTCCCCAAAATCCCCCAAAAATGCCCAAATAATTCCACAAAAAATCCCAAAAATTCCCAAAAAATTCCCCATTTTTTTAAAAATCTCCAAAAAATTAAAAAAAATTTCCCCAAAAATCCTCAAAAAATCCACAAAAATTCCCAAAAAAATCCCCCCAAAAATTCCCAAAGAATCCTCAAAAAATGCCAAAAAATTCCCAAAAATTCTACCAAAAAATAAAAAAAATCTCCCATTTCCGGGACAAAATTCCCAAAAATCCCAAAAAAATCCCCCCAAAAATTCCCAAAGAATCCTCAAAAAATGCCAAAAAATTCCCAAAAATTCTACCAAAAAATAAAAAAAATCCCAAAAAATCCCACAAAATTCCACCAAAAATCCCATAAAAACTGGCAAAAATCCCATTAAAATACCCTCAAAAATTACATAAAAATGCCAAAAAATCCAAAATAATTCCCATTAAAATCCTAAAAAAGTCCCACAAAATTCCGCAAAAATTCCCCAAAAATCTCAAAAATATTCCCCAAAAAACCCACAAAAAATCCTGAAAAAATCCCCAAAAAATCCCCAAAATATCGCAAAAATCCTCCCAAAATCCACAAAAAAATCCCATAAAAATTCACCAAAAGATCCCAAAAATTCCCTAAAAAATTTATAAAAAAATTCCCCAAAAATCCTAAAAAAAATCCTGAAAAAAAATCCCCAAAAATCCACAAAAAATCCCCAAAAATCCCCCCAAAATTCCCCAAAAAGTCCACAAAAAATTCCCCCAAAAAATCCCATAAAAATTCCTGAAGAATCCACAAAAATTCCCATAAAAAATCCCAAAAACCCCCCAAAAATTCTCCAAACATTTCACAAAAAAATCCATTAAAAATCCCCAAATTCCCCAAAAAATCCCCCCAAAAATCCCCCCAAAAATCTCAAAAATATCCCCAAAAATTCCCCAGAAAATCCTAAAAAAATCCCCCCAAAATGCCCCCAAAAATCCACAAAAAAAATCCCCAAAAAATCCATAAAAAAATTTTGGAGAGAATTTTTAGGGGATTTTGGAAAGATTTTTTTCCGAATTTTTTTGAATTTTGGAGGGAATTTTCAAAGGACTTTTTGAAATTTTTTCCTGTATTTTTTGGAAATTTTGGGGTTTTTTTTCAGGGAATATTTTGAATTTTCTGAAGAATTTTTTTGGAATTTTTGGATTTTTTGGGGGGGATTTTGTAGGATTTTTTTATTTTTTGAAAGAATATTTGGGATTTTTTAGGGGATTTTTTTTTTTTTTTCAGGGAATATTTTGAATTTTCTGAAGAATTTTTTTGGAATTTTTGGATTTTTTGGGGGGGATTTTGTAGGATTTTTTTATTTTTTGAAAGAATATTTGGGATTTTTTAGGGGATTTTTTTTTTATTTTTCAGGGAGCATTTTGATTTTTTTGTGATTTTTTGGGGGATTTTTTGGGATTTTTAAAGGAATATTTTGAATTTTCTGAAGAATTTTTTTGGAATTTTTGGATTTTTTGGGGGGGATTTTGTAGGATTTTTTTATTTTTTGAAAGAATATTTGGGATTTTTTAGGGGATTTTTTTTTTATTTTTCAGGGAGCATTTTGATTTTTTTGTGATTTTTTGGGGGATTTTTTGGGATTTTTAAAGGAATATTTTGAATTTTTTAAAGAATTTTTTTATTTTTAAAAAAAATTTGGGGGAATTTTTTGTAAATTTTTAATTTTTTTTCGGATTTTTTGTGAATTTTTGGGATTTTTATTAGTTTTTTAGGGAATATTTTGAATTTTTAAAGAATTTTTTAAATTTTTTTTGTATTTTTTGAGGATTTTTTAGAAATTTTTAGGGAATATTTTGAATTTTTTGAAGACTTTTTTTTAGAAATTTTTTTAGAATTTTGGAGGAATTTTTTTGAATTTTTTAGGAAATATTTTGAATTTTTGAAGAATTTTTTAAAAATTTTTTTGGGATTTTTGGGGAATTTTTTAGGGAACATTTAAATATTTTTAAGAATTTTTCTTGAATTATTTTGGAATTTTTTTTGGTTTTTTGAGAATTTTGGGGGGATTTTTAGGGAATATTTTAAATTTTTTGGAATTTTTTTGGAATTTTTTTAGAATTTTTTGGGAATTTTTCGGGGATTTTTTCTTTATTTTTTGAGGGAACTTTTAAAGGATTTTTTGAAATTTTTTCTGAATTTTTTGGAAATTTTTGGGGGATTTTTTTAGGGAATATTTTGAAGTTTTTGGAGAATCTTTTGAGAATTTTTTTTTTTATTTTTTAGGGACTATTTCGAAATTTCTGAGGATTTTTTTTTTGGATTTTTTTTTTCAATTTTTGGGGGGGAATTTTGGTGAATTTTTTGGGAATTTTTTAAAGGGTTTTTTTGGGGATTTTTTTTTAATTTTTGAGGGATTTTTTAGGGCATATTTTGAATTTTTTTTTTTAATTTTTTTTAAATTTTTTTGGGAATGTCCTGGCTTGTAAAATAAGCATGTATTCTATTTTTGCCATCTGTTGGGGGTTAGGCAGTTTTTCTTATCTCTTTCACAAACAGTGACACTGCCAGGAAGACAATGGCCTGCTAATGGGCTATTGAATTACTCACTGTGGCTGGTAAGATTAGTTACATCATCCCATTGGGAGATGCTCCACCCAGAGGGAGGAGCCAAGCATCCCTGCCACCATAAAACAAGCACTTCTGAGACCACAGACAGCCTTCTTCACTGGATTTCC